CATTACCTAGCTACTTTTCTCTCCTTAAATCAAAGATATTTTTATTTCTTTATTATAATAAAATCCGTTAGCTATTTTCATTTGTGTACTAACATTTATTTTCGTAAAGAGCATACTATTAGAAAAATTGTACGCTGTTTTAGAATAATTTAGGGATAATAAAATGTCTATTTATTAAATTTTTATATTTTTGTAATAAAAATATTTATTAGATATTTTTATGTTTTTGTGAAAATTCAATAACTATAAAATTTGTTATTTTAGCTTAGCTTCATGTTTAGTTCTAGGCTGTTACTAGGCTGCTGCTATTCGTCCGATAATCGAATGAATAAAAAATATATTATTACGACTATTGTCGGTTTGTACGAATAATTAACACTTTTTTGTCTCGTAATGTAAAATAAGTGATTTTTAGGTGCAGTAGTTTCTATATGCAAAAAAATAACCTTAACCTACCGTGCCAAGCTACTTATCTACTTATTTATTATTATTAGTCTATTCGTCCTTATTTATAATTTATATATTTTATAAAGGACGAATTATAATTATTTTTTATTTGTCTTATTAAAGAACGAATAGATACTCCGTTAGTTCTATGACAATCCGTCAATCGTATAAGTGCGAAACTATATAATATGTTACAAAAGAAAATATCTCAATTTGGATAATAATAATATTTTTAATAATTATACTTACTTAACTTTTCTAATACAAATTTAATTAAATTTTATTAATACTTTCTTAGATTTACGCGAATATTTGACATTTTAAATAAAACTATCTTTTCGGATTTTGTCGCGGATTTATTATCACATTCGCGGATATATTATACAATAAATCCGAGACAAAATCCGAAAAGATAGTTTTATTTAAATTTTATTAGGTAAGTTTTACAATGAAATTATTGATGTTGGTGTTTTATAAATGTTTCATTTTCTTTCCTATTGTTCTTACAGATACAACATGAACAGTACCTATGATAAATAAGGTTTTTATAATAGACTTCGCTCCCTTCTATAATGTATGTTATTTTTAAATTTCTTAATCTCCTAGCAAGTACTTAGTCATATTACGTATAGCATGACAAAACAAACTAGGTAAAGAGATGTAGAGCACAGGCTGAATCGCGTTTATCTTTAAGTGTTATCTAAGGCACTAATGGCCGATTTCACCAACAACCCATATGCTACCTACGTATGGGATCCCTAGCTTAAAAGTCCCCTAAACTAGCCCCTAAATTAAATTTTGTTTTACGATCGTCTTTAAGCCCATATTTCGAGCACCTAAACTTAGGGGGCCTTTTAATATTTAGGTGACCCCTAACTGTCGGTGAAATAGAAACTGTCAACTAACAGCCCCTTAACCATTCTTAGGGGATCCCTTAACTTAGGTGACGTTGGTGAAATCGGGCATAAGGCAGTTAAATTATCACCAAGTCTTTCTTGAAAAAGAAACCTTAATAACTATCATATTATATTAAGAATATAGACGATGTAATAGAGTGAACCTATAACTGTATCAGGCCATGTTCGTATACCGTGTATATATTCCATAGCACTCAGAATATGAACACACAAGGCATACGACAGTGATCGAATTAAGTGCACAATGGAGCGGGTGGTGGAGTATTAAATGATGTTAAATACATTAAGATTTCTATATAATTTTTGTGATCAATCATCGCATATTTACTTATAAACTTAGTAACTTGTATTGCTCATTGTTTTTATTAACCGATTTCCACGTCTAAGAAGGAGGAGGCTCTAAATTCGTCGGCATATTTTTTTTTTATGTGTGTGCATCGATTACTCGAAGACGCCTGAACCGATTTGGAATTTTTGTTTTGTTTCAAAGGGTTAGAATAGATACCTAATCAGATATTTTCGAAGTCGGTGCCAGCCTACAATATTTTAAGATATGCATATCTAATAGGTAAATATGTATTTTACGTATCGAAATATATGATTTGCTTTGCATCGGCTATTAATTAAAATATTCTAAATGAAAACCTCCGTTTAGTTATTTTTTACATTTTAGTGCCTGGAAGTCAGTTTTTTTTAGTTTTTATTATATAAGTGAATTAATTTATTTACTAATAGCTGCTTATTTGGCAACAGCAATAGTTTAATGTTAAATTTTGTAAAGTTTTGAATCCCGCATATGCGTAGGTTTGTACGAATAGGTATGTAGCTAAAGTTATTCATATTATTTTTATTTAAATTACTTTTGCTCAATTAAATTAAATATATTTAAATTTCTTACTTGATCATCAGAAAATTGAAAATAAAATAACCGAAATTTCCTTAACGGAAGCCCTCGAGTGGTCATTATTACGATTGAAAACGTTCGTATCCCCGAACAATGCGTGAAAGCCATTGTCGACCATTTTTGTTTTGTCAATACGTAAATACTTCATAAATATTTAAACAGCTTAAATGCACCCTTGGGAACGCTTTGTAAGAATCGAATGCAAAAAATTACAATTATGTGTCAACTGGCTACTGGGTTGCGGATTTCCGTTCTGATTTTGGACTTGATAATTTTATTAATAGTGTAGGTACTGTGTATTATCATATTGTGCTTGTAAGTAGGCTTTTTTCATTTGACTTTATTTTTATACGAAATGTGTATATTTTAGTATATTTAACTAGTTATCTTTGTAAAAAAATTTTTTACAAAGGTAGATACAGATACAGTAATATTTAAAGATAATATTTAAAAAATTGAAAACAGTTTTTCATTTTTCCTATTTTTCTCGAAAATGGTGTAAATCGTGCTGACTGGCGATATATTTGTTTTGTGCGGGAATCAAACCTTTGAGCTGTTTTCATTTTCAATTCATCTCAGAAAGCAAAAACAATCAGATTTATTTACACATATATTTTTTTAAGAATTGGTAAGTAGCATATCGTTCAAACAGACAAAACAATTGAGTAAATATGTACATAATATCAAGAATCAAATTTAAGCTCTTAACAAACATTTTACCATTTAGAGTCAAGACATCTTAAGGAATTGGGGCAGCTGTCGTCCAGCATGTAGCGTTTAGCCCACGCGTTCCTCGAACATCCGAGTAACACGTTTCAAAACTTACTAGCACTTAATTCAATTACATGGCATTGTCCACAGTTTTTGCTCAAGCATTTTACACTCTAACAATGCATTTATTTTGCCAACAATAACTGTATATTGCCAACACAATGGCCGACTGGTCCGAGATGACGGTCCGTCACGTTGGTCAGTATTTTTTTAACACTCGACGCTAACTGTTCTTGAAAGGTGAATTGTGTTTGTGCGTGAAGTGTTTATCGTGTCCTGGCCCGATACGATCTTAATCTTGGATTAGTAGAGCGTTAACAGTCATTGTCATTGTCATTGCTTAAGCTATGTCATGCCCACCTAGATACAATGGTTCTTCTATTTGCTCCAAACTCCCACGCGAAATAACGTTTAAGCAAACCTTTTCCGATTAATACATATCCGGTCAAGTGTTAGAATCTTTATACTTGCATGTTAGGAAGAAGTAAAGCTTTTGTTTGTTATAGGCACTAACTACTATAGTAAAAATAATATTGACTTATAGTTGTAAATTACTCAAAGATGTAGCCTTTACATGATTACTAAATTTTCTTTTCTTTAGTGGCGTAGAGTTGCGTTAATAGGTGCAATACATTATTCCGGTGTCACGTATTGTGAGGAAGATACGAATGTGTTTGAGCGGTAATTTTGAAATTTAGCAGTTTTATCGTGGAATTATAACAAAATGAATGATCGGTCTACAGGAGCAACCTACAACATTAATTATAAATTAAAAATTAAAAAAAAAACCCCTATGCAAATTAATTGTTTATTATTTAGCAATTACCTACACTGGCACGCGTGAAGCACTTAATCGAGTAATCATACGTCAAAATGCCTTACATCATTTTGGAAAAGAGCTGATACTACTTTCTTAGATCTACGCGAATGTTTGACATTATTAAATAAAACTATCTTTTATTAATAGTGTTGCTTAGTAAGTTGTTTTTAAATAATAGCAAACTAAATTAAAATTATTATCCTTAATTAATTTTAACTTTTTAAATTACACATAGAACAATTATATGGCTTAAATAATTAATACTATATTTTATATTTTTCTTTATGGTTATAAATATAATAATGGCAGCACTAAATATTGATTACTAATTAATATTTTTAAAATTGTAATAATTATAAAAATAATAGCAAAAATTAAATAAATAATTTTCCATATTCAATTATAATTAAAATTATAAAAATGTTTAAAGTTAAAAAATATTGTAATGTAATTGGTGCAATTTTCATTTTGTTAATTGTGGGTAGGCTGTCTGTAACAACTATACCTTCAAGACATGTAACACCTCAGTCTCTCCCGTGACCATGGATGCTGTAAAGCATTCGAAACGTCGGGAACCAAAAATCAAAATAAATCCGCGAAGTAATCCGAAAAGATAGTTTTATTTAATAGAGCTGATACTCTTACACTGCTGGACCGATATTAACCAAACATAGCTAAGAACCACCGCAAGGAAACTGGCTTTCAAATAAAAAACCGCATCGAAATCGGTCCACCCTTTTAAGAGTCACGATGCCACAGACAGACACACACATACAGATAGACACATCAACGTCAAACTTATAACACCCCTCTTTTTGCGTCGGTGGTTATAATAATAAATACTTGATACAAAAATGGTACAATGATTGAAAATAAAAATACATAAATATGAGAAATATATTATAATTCAATTTTATTATCTACTATACACTTAACTATTTTTTTTTATAAATGGGCTAAACACAAGGGCTAATAAACATTTTATGTTAACTGGGCAGTGAATTTGAGGAGGAATTATATCATGGGAAAATTATTATAAAAATCTATATATATTTATTACTCTACGAGTAAACAGTCTTCACAAATGTCAGTATCTACAAATGTCACGGGTACTAAGGCATATTTTTAGTGTAGTTTAAAAATGTTATACTTCTTAAAATTACAAAAATGTAATATAAAATCTATGATATTTACATTGTTTGCTATATGTTGTTGTGTTTCGTTACATTTATTCTGCGTCAATTACATACTGAATATTGCCGACGATATCAACTCTGTATTTGCATCAAAACGCTATATAATTAGAAAATCAAAAGGCACAAAATATATCCTACTTTGGACGGAACACCAGGATTATCTTTTACTCAAAGACAATGAAATTATATTTCCAAGTCGAAATTGTTCAATAAGTAATTGTATTTTCACAAAAGCTAAAGATCTCTTTGATGAGGACTACACAAGATTTGACGCTGTGCTTTTTAATGAAGCGATTCTGAACTCTAAAAATAGACCTCTGAAGCGAAATGATAGTCAAATATATATATTTCACACAGTAGAATCCTCATACAATGTTCCAGCGTGTGAACTTTTTAACGATGGATTTTTTAACTGGACCCTAACATACCGTTTGGATTCAGATATTACGTGGAGTTACTTTGTAGTAAGAAATCGAAAAGGCAAAATCGTCGCTCCTAGTGAGAAGATAAAATGGCGTAGGAGTTACAAGGCCGTGAGTCCTAAAATTAAGAGCATATTGAATGGAAAACAAAAAGCGGCTGCCTGGCTCGTAAGCCATTGTAAAGCAGATAGTTTAAGAGATGAATATCTAACGAGACTTCAGGAACATCTCTTCCATTTTGATTTAAAAATTGATGTATACGGAAAATGCTCTGAAAGTATATGTCCAAATGATGACTGCGATAAAATGATAAAGAAGGACTATTATTTTTATATGGCGTTTGAAAATTCTCTGGCTGATGATTATGTAACTGAAAAAGTGTTACACGGTTACAATAATTACGCTGTTCCGATTGTTTATGGTGGAGCTAACTATAGCAGGTACATACATACTTACACTTATTATATTTCTGATCCTTGATTCTAAAACCCAATAATAATATAAACTTTTTATTTATTTATACAATATTTAAAACATATGCATATATTCTAAAATTATATAGTATCGATAAACATCTTAAAAATACTTGTGTAATATAAACTCGATTTTTTCGATAATGATTCAATGTATTATAGCTCCAACCGTTTGTTTTGTCCTAAGTTTTTGCGTCCCAACAAACATTTCTTGGGTAGGTACTTATCATCTATACCTTTGAAAAATAACTGATATTAATTCCTTTAAATACTATTTTTTGATTTGTATTAAATGCACATTGTACATTATTAATCTTGTAACAGTCTTAATATAAGGTCATATTTAATATACTTGGCTATTCAAATATTTTAACTGACCGTATATATAGCTAGCAAAATATACTTTAGGATTACAAATAAATTCTACGAGTACATATTGAAACTTCACAAATAACATAAATAAATTTTCCCAGATTTCTGCCCGTCGGTTCGTACCTAAACGCTCGGGAAATGCACCCATACAATTTAGCATTTGCTATGTACAAAGCCATGCAGATACCAACGGTGTATCAATCATACTTCCTATGGACGAACCTTTATTCTATCAGCGACGACTTCAAATCGCATCATCCTCTATGCAAGCTATGCTCTGCGTTACATCGTGGGGATAAGTATCCGTATAAAGAGAAGTTCAGATTGTGGTGGAATGGTCTTAATGGGATGAAGTGGTGCCTATCCAATGATTACTGGAATGAAACATCTAATGTTAACCTTGACGCGAAACATGTTTTTAATTTTTATTAGTTTTTTAATTTTTTCATATTAATATTAAAATGATTATAACATTTAGCCATTTTATTATTTTAATGCATTTTATAATAATGCAATCCAGTGCAAGAACCTGATAGTGATTTACAAACCACACATTTATATTTATATTTTACTCTATTCAAATCATTCATTGGATGTTTTCGAGAATTTTCTCTTAATAGTTATAATGTATGGGACTCATTACTATTGTACTTTCATTTACTTTCATGTTTACGTATTGGTGCAAGTTTCGACTCGGTACGACGCGGCTAGAAGTGAATAAAAATTAAGCAGGTATCTAGAGATTTGCTTACATACATAGGTATATATTATGTATTAATGAAACGAATTTATATGACGACAAATCCTAGTAGCCTCTGAGGCTATAGGCTATATATCATATAATATTGGTATAGTCTATCTATTCCATACTAACCGTTAAAACGAACCTAAGCGAAGCGAAGTCGAGCCGCTCGTATATCATAAAACATATGTTAGGACATAAACACACAACACTATCTAGTTCCATGGTAAGCTTCGAGGCTCGTGTTATGGATACCAGATAGTTGATACACTACACATTATTATATAACTTTAAATACATATATATTTTAAATATAAACACCTGTGACTGGAGTACAAACATTCCGTGTTCATGTCACAAATGAATGTCCCCAGCGGGACTCGAACCCGCGACCGTTGGCACAACAAGTAGGGTCACTACAAACTGAGCCAAACGTGTCGTCGAATACATATAGATATAGTATAAAAGCAACTGTACAATAATGATAAATATTCAAATAAACATTCCCGTACAAGCCAGTGTATGAACACTGAACAGCTATGAACGGGCGCCTAAGTTCAAAAGCGGTCGGCAGGGGGAGCGAAAACAATTACCTGCATTTACATACATCATAGCCGCGGGCATACATTTATACAGGAATAAGGCATTCACACGAAGCTGCCATTTTATTCGAAACGTTAGGATATTAAACAATTCACAGAAATAAAGTTAAACAAAATACAAAATGAAGTAAATTATTAAAGAAAAAAAACAGTATCAAATACATATGCCTTGTTGGTCTAATGGCTAACTTACGGCTGCAGATTTTGAATCTAGGTTTGTGTCCTACGTCGAGCCCAAAGACTGATATGCAGACCGGAATGGGTAAGTTCGATTTTCCGTTCCTTTTTCTCTAGAACATGTTTTACAATATGTGCGAGGTACAAACATAGCTGTTTCTATCGTAAACAATAATCATATTGGAATATTTAAAGTGTTGCACTGTTAAATATAGTAATAATCGAACCTATACCAGGCACAAAAAGTGTCTCATAGATAAAGAAACACAATATTATCGATTATAAAAAATATTTAAAAAATAATTTAATACTGTGTATAATAACCTTTCAAATTCGACTAAAATATTTCAAAAACGTACACAATAAGCTACCTGTAGCGTAGATATGTACGTAGCTGAAAAAGTCCTAATACGATACGCAGACTTGCATGGTTTGCAATCTCCAACACTTATCTGGCCTCGATGCTAACGTCTCGTTTCCGGATTAAATGTGAACAGCCACAAAAATAATCCCACACAGAGCAAGCTTAAAGAAAACTCATCAAATTCAACCTGTAAGTCTTCCCGCCAGTAGTTTTCTAATCAAGAGTTACAATAGCATACTGTTATTAATTTCATATCGTCGACAAAAGAGCATGTTGGTACAAATATTCAATACAAAGTCAGGAAAGTAATTAATGTTAGACTCGTATTGGTTGAATTCAGTCGTTAGTGCCCTGGGGAGGCGCCGACACAATACCGTAGTTAGGGACGCTGGCGGGGGCCGTATCGGCGGACGTTTAACGAGCAAATTATTTAGTAAATGTTGCCAAATAATAACATTAATGTGGGTTGGGGCTGACTCGCGACTGCTCGCTAACTCGCTACACTCTCCTGCGAAAGATTAGTATGGAATTTACGAAAACAAAATTATTAGTATTATGTATTGATTGAATTAGTATTAAATGTATAAATATATTGCTTAAAAGAATATTTTGGAGAAAAATACTTGTACTAGATTAAATTGGTATGAAATATAACAAAAAAATATCGTGAACTTTTATGTCTTTACACTTATTAGGTGTTAAAAGCATTATATACATAAACCTGCTAATTTGAAAATTTCCTTATTTAAATTATAATGTTCGCTATTAAACAAAGGCATGTCCATATAATGTTTTTATCAAAGCCAGAGAAGTCTCCCCGGAGGGTGGGTGCCCATTGAAAGCTCTCGTCACGCTCGAGCGAACTCCAGTGCAAACAGCAGCGAACCTGAATGCCACATAATTGAGTATCTTCTTATATCTTCATCTGTATGATAAACCATGTGTCAGTGCTGTGTTTTACTAAGGCTTATAGTAAATTTTGATATATGATAAATATTATTAAGAGAATTTTAATATTTGTTTTTTTGTAAATTTTATACTAGGTCTTATCATATGGAAACGGAGAAAACGAATCATTTTAAAGTAATAAATATTATTTATTAAATTATTTACTTTGTTATGTAAATACCGTACAATCTTACTCTACTTTTTTGGAAATAAAAAAATGATTTCTGTAATAAAATGTGCAATATTATTAAAACATAGGTTTAGTCTTGTTATGAAAGGTAGCGTGGCTTAGAGGTTTCCCCCCGAGGGTGATTAGCCAATGAGAGCACTCGTCACACTCGAGCGGGCACCAGTGCAAACAGAAGCGAGACTGAATGCCACATAATTGAGTGTCTCCTCATACCTCATCTCGATGCTCAGCCAACCGGCATTATTGTCGAAGCCATTATATCAATTATGAACTAAATGTTCGCGAATTAACGATGATTTTATAGATGTTTTACGCGTGGTTACACTATGACTTTGATGAGTGTACTTTAAACATTTTAGGGTCGTTTTAGTGTAAATAAATGTAACAAAATTAAAAATATTAAAAATAAAGACTATGGAGACGGATATAAATGGTGATTGGAGACTTCAAAAACTTTATTTTCGGTATTTCGTTATGTTTGATTTATAAGCTTTTAGTATGCTATGTTAAATTATGACGTGATGCACAATTTGTTGTAATAAATGAGAAATAAAAATCAAAAAATGTAAATAAATGAACATAAAACATTCTAAAACTTACTACATTTACAAAACTCACTAAACAGAGCTCTTATGTTGACTTCTACACTGTCGGCTGTCCTCTATCTGTCCTCTACTATATACATTGTCATTTTTACAGACTGTCTCAATAACGTAGTGGAAAGAGTATTATTATTATACCGCAAAGTAGTGGTTAACATGTACTGCACATCCGAAAATTTTGAGTTCGAGTCCTGGGTCGGGCCAAATTTATTTATCCAACATAGGCCAAATTTAATCTCAGTCCTGCTTATAGGAGCATGCGAGTTTAGACACGGGCAAAAGCTAGTTTTAAATAAAAAAAGAATTGATATCGTTTTTTTGATTACTAAAATATATTTATTTTAATTTGTCACATAAATATCAAAGTTATACATTGCCATTTAAGAATAACTTTTGTCTGTTACGTAATTAAGTCCATACTTAGACATTGTTGTTCATTTACATACAAATAGAGTAAACACATCAAAACTTTTTTTTTTAATTTTCACATATTATGTACATATATTTATTATTAATATACATAAAAATAAAATATTATTTTTACGCATGTTTGTTATAGGTTTTAATTTGCTAAATGACAAGCAAGTAATTTTGACAAAATGTTACAAAAACTATTCTTGTCTAGGAATCTTTTAACGCTTAGAACTACTACGTACAAATTGAATGAGAAGAATCTTCAAGAATATCAACGATACTCTGTATAAGATGTAGGTACACTGGCGTGGGCGTTAGTGAAACAAAGTGTAATGAAATTATTTCGTAATAGCTTTGCCGCTGGTTTAGACTCTACATTATGATAAAGTGAGTCGTTTCAATAATGAATACCTTTAAAGTCCCTTTTTAGGTGAAATATGATGAAACATTTAATATTGTGGAATTCATTGTTACTATTTTGTCCTTAATTTAATTTCGACGATTTTAAGAAAACACACCTTAAATATTTATATATTAAGTATTGATAATTCTCCCCCCCCCCCCCTTCGCTTGGGTACGTTCTTAAAAATACATTGTGTTCATATAACTTTATTGGTTTGAGCATCGCACGCCAACAAAGCTCCCAGTCGGCATGATTTTTTCCGATCAACCAATTACACAAAACTTTAATAATTTACACATTTAAAACTTCCTCATGAATCATTCCACTTATTGGCGAAAACCGTATGAAAATGCATTTAGTAGTTTTTGAGTTTATCGTGTTCAGACAGACTGACAGACAGGTGCACGGGGGACGGGGGGAGGGGGTGTGGTATTTATTATAAAAGGTGATTAAGATAATAGTTCCCCTAAGCTTATAGATACAAGGCCACAGAACTAGAGCTTTTTATCATAAAAGTTTGCAACTACAAACATAGTTTGTATCTTTCTTGTATCAATAAAAGCAAGTTAATTCCTAAGTAATATTTTTCTATTTCTTCTTTGTAATTTAATAGTATTTAAAAAAATAGTTCAAAGTTAACAGTGCGAGAAACGAACGATGCTAAAGACCCAACGCCCAAGGGACGAAGAAGTCCCTGCAAACGGAATGGATAATTCAATAAGCGAAGGAACGCGCTGCCTAATACCGAAATTAGCAATACGATACGATTAAATAGATTTCGGTCGAACAAAGCAGATGCCAGGGGAATACGGTAAGCCGGGGTGTTTAGAATCATTATCGTGAAGGGTTGCGCAAATATTATATTTGGACATCTAAATAGTGTAAAAAACATGTCATTCTGTAAATTTATTAGTTAGTTTGTTCTATCTCAAATACAGATTAGATCTTTCTTTCTATTTAGACGTTTAATTAACTCCTCCAGGTATTTTTTTAGAAATTAATTAAATTTCTAAGAAGTTGATTGTTAACAGTAACTTAATAATAATAGAATTGAAAAAAACTTTAATTCTAATATACAAAAAACCTTTGGCTTAAACGAGTGTGCAGAGAAGTAGCAAAAATATGGAATACGTTTGAGAAACATATGTGTTAGGTTCTATATTTATAAAGCTTGTTTCATTAAAAATCTTCAAAAGTCTTTTTCAAATTTTTATATACATTTATCAGTTATTATCCTCACGTGATGACACTAAAATATAGGTGCAGATAATATTTTTATAGCTTAATAATATAAATATAATTATAACTTTATTATATATTTCATTAAATTAGTTATGTAAAAATAAAGGAGTACTATTCCTACTTAAATGTAAATGTGACCAATTTTGAGAGCTACTAATCAATGGACGAGATAATGCGCCTGATGAGCATGAATAGCAATTACTTATGCTTGCTACTTTCATCGAGTACCATACTAGGAGTACGATAAATGATTAATTAGAATTATAGTACTTATTCCTACAACGATAATGGTCATTTTAATTAGAATAAAGCTTTTATCAAAGCCCATGGTGACACGTGGCGACACGTGTACAGTAGTATGGCATTGTGCGTGTAGATTGTTTCCGGATGACCGTATCGCATTGCCAATGAAAAAATATTGACATTGATGCGGCTTCTATGTGATATGAAAAATAAAATCAATTTCAAATATAAGTGGACGATATGTAATATGAGCTTTTAGGGCTACAAGAGACGATCAAGATATGGCATGTGGCTAGGATAACGGTTTAATGTGTACATAAAAAATGGCTTATTGTCAGATTTCTTTCCGGTTTACCGTCAATCATTTTCCTTTTATTTAAAATCAAAGAATTAAATTATATAAATAACTTCTCCTGTGCAGAACTTTATATCTGCCATGTTGGACATAAGTGTAAAGATGGTTCGAGATAGAGTCATGAAAGCACAGAAATATTCTTTAAAGATGCACAATAAGAAAAAGTTTAGATTTTTCAATTACAATTTTCATAATACTCTGTAAACAGCGGTTGTTTAAATAGAAAACTAAAACTAAACTAGGTACTATTACCATTTCATATTTGGCTTCGCGTAGGACGGGTGGGAGGGAAGACGGAAGCAATTAGGCAGGGCGCCTGCGCGAGCTTCCTGCGCCGTAATTGCCGTATCTGTTCGCTCGATGTGCTGTTATAATTGACGATATTGTTAATATTGTGCCGATGTTATCTGGCGTGTAAACAGAATTCACGTTTTCAGATTTAGTAATTGGCATGTAATATTTATAGATATATTCCAATAAATTATTTCAATTTTGATATGTTTATTTTATCTTATTAAAACTTATTTAAAACTTAAAGCCCCGCTAGAGCTTTATAAATATTACAGTTATGCTTATTATTTAATTTCGTTTTTATATTAATGAAAAAACTTGACATCTCTTAGACACAGCCAAGGGAGGCTCATGTTCATAAGTAATTTATTACATCAGACTAATACACACTAGAACCAATGCATCGGGATAAATAGTAGCCTATGTCACTTTCCGACACATACACCTACATTTCTCTGTAAAAAATTAATTTCTTTAGTTTTATCTATTAAAATACTGCGTAAAACAAGGATAAACTAGGAAGTACACTTTTTGTATTTAGTAGGCACATAATCATTATTTTTAAATTCGAAACGAAATGAACTATAAAGTATAGGACTAGTTACATTTAAAACGGTTAGTATGAAATACAAATCTTTGAATTTATCGGCTTTTCTGTACTATAATATGCATATACTATACATATAAACCTTTCTTTTGAATCACTCTATTTATTGCTGAAAACTGCATTAAAATCCGTTAAGTAGTTTAAAAGATCTAAGCGATCAGACAGGCAAAGCGACTTCATTTTATACTATGTAAAGATGTGTACATTGACAAGACAAGGCAAGCAAAATTACAGTCGATCGTGTTAATTCACATTTATCGAATAAGGTTTTTTAATATTACGTATTAAAACACATGTAAGTACTATATTCGGATTTAAAAATGTCTCACTGAGCATTGAACTGCAATATCAAGTTTTCATTCCACAATATGGACTCTACATATCAAGTACTGGTCATAATAGAGCATCAAATCTACCTACGGGTAGAGTAAATCATTGTGATTATTAGAAACAAGGTTATTATAAGATATCAGCCCTTCTATTCCCCGTGGACTGTTCAAAGTAACATTCGGTATAATATCTCTAGTAATGGCGGTAGGGAGGTAATCACTATAATAGTCGGATTAACACGGCAACCCTTTGTGGGCGGATTGTAAAACTTCATCAAAACATTTATCCGCACTCATTATTTATTCACGTGCATTAAATATTCGCAGAATGAATTCAATATTAGCTGTAGCGAATGAACATACTAATTTGAATTTTAAACTTTTTGCAACCGTAAATATTTTTCTGAAATAGAACTACTGGATTAAATTAGCATTGTGAAAATTATGACGCTAGTAATTTTAAAACCTAAACAAATCCCTTTTAAATGTTGGGTATAAAAGCTCGCGGATATTTTAAACTTTAGTTAAGTTTTTTGGTGAAAACATACCTTTTTTTCAGTATAACATACAACATAGGTTTGACGACACGTTTGGCTCAGTGTGTAGTGACCCTACTTGCTGTGCCAGCTGTCGCGGGTTCGAGTCCCGCTGAGGGCATTCATTGTGTGATGTTCTCATCACATGTTTGTACTCCACGAATGTTTGTACTCCATTCATGGGTGTTTAAATTTATAATATGTATGTTTTTAAAGTTTATATATGTGTAGTGTATCAACTACCTGGTATCCATAACACAAGCCTCGTAGCTTAACATGGAACTAGATGGTGCTGTGTTTTAATGACCCAACATATTTATTTATAGGTAAATGATGTAAGTAGACAGTTGCCTAAATAGAAATCATTAACCTTCAATCTTACTATGATTACAACACGATGTAACGCTTAACATCCTGTTAAGATGCGTGCTACATTTAAATGTTAGTTTTAAGTACACTGACGGCTGCTATCAAATCGAGTTTTATTTCAATAAAATCTATGATAATTTTGTTCTATGGAACCCCTCTGTCAGCAAAGGATACGTGTGTTAACAAATAAAATATTCACATCACACATTCTACAAGCCCTCACATTGTCCTAACAACCACTTTCAACATCAGCCCTGTCAATTTATATTTGCCTACAATGATTAATAGACGCGTCGACGCGTATTAATGTTTGGTAAGGTCCGACGGCCGAGGCGATGGCAAATGCTTCTGAACATCCCTGCCTCTCGTGATTTTCCCTCTCACGGAGCCAGCAAGCTAGCCAGTGATGTGTAAGGCCTGAGGTTTTAATTGTAGTGGTTGCACAAAACTAAATAGCCGAATGAGTAGGTGTCAAGAGTAACTCGTCAGGGGGCCCGAGGGGCCCGGACGTGCCGCGTAATAGGAGCTACTCGCCTCATAATGTTACATAATTCAATTGAATCCCCGACGCTACCCGCACGCTTCCTCCTAACTTCGTTTGGAGCGTTTTGATATCGGATACGCCGTTTGACGCCTCGTGCAATTCTTTATATACACAAATAAAACAGAAAATTGTGTCGACAAAGCTTTTGTATTTAACAGAATAAAGAGGTTTATAATTGTTATAAACAATAATTTACACTTTTAATGACTGTAAGAGTAGGCAGGTGAGGAGAAGGAAACTTGACCGAGCGATGTTTGGTAGGCAATTGGTGCTTGGTAAGCTAATTTTGCCGCAGGTGCAGCATAAGTCAACCTGGTGACTGGGGCGGCATAAGTCAATCTGGCAGCGGGACCTGCGTAGGCGAGGTTGGCAACGGGAGAGCCGTAGGCGAGCTTGGTGAGGGGGGCGGCGTAGGTGAGCTTGGCGGGAGCGGGGGCGGCGTGGGGTGTGCCCTCGTAGCGTACAACGGCGTTGAACCCGTGCTCCTCATCGGAGGTGTAGTCCACGACGCGGTGCAATCCATCGGGCTGCACTAGCGAGTAGGAGCCTTGCACATCGTCTCCAGAGCGAGCCTCTTGTTGTTGTTTGATGTCACCGCTTTGCTCATCGTGTACGGAGTATTGGAACTCGTACTGTGCTGGTGCTTCAGCCTCCGCGTACGCCAACTTGGCGATTGGGACAAGGGGAGCAGCTACTGCGGAAGCAACCGCCAGCATTCCGAAGAAGACTACGAACTAAAAATATTTTTTTTATTACTATTACATGTGACATGCTACAATAAATAAAATATTATTCAATTTAAAATTTGTTACTTATGTATACTAATATTATAAAGAGAAAAAAATGTTTTTTTGTATGTTTGTATGTTTGTTTGTAATGGATGAACTAAAAATCCGCTAATCGGTTGATTTACATGAAATTTGGTATGAAAATAGTTTGAGAGTTGAGACCCTGAGAAGGACATAAGATAGTTTTTATTCTGGAAATCATCCCTTAAGGGGGCGTAAAAAGGGGGATGAAAGTTTGTATGGTTAATCAAATATTTCTCAAGTAATGGATATAAAACTCTTCATAACTATGTATACATACTAATATATAGTGTATGTACTTCACACTAACCGCTAAAAGGATGAACCCGAAAAGAGGTACGAAAGGAGGTAAGGCGCTAGTCTATATTAATATTATAAAGAAAAAAGATTTTGTGTTTGCTTGTTCCGAATAAGCTCCGAAATTCTGGACCGTTTTAGATGAAATTTGGTACGAAGATATTTTGAGACCCTGGGAAGGACATAAGATAATTTTTATCCCGGAAATCATCTCTTAAGGGGGTGAAAATGAGGATGAAAGTTTGTATGGAGAATCAACCTATGGATGAACCCGAGCGAAGCGAGGGCGAGTCGCTAGTCAATAAGATGTATGTACATCTATATACATATAATAAAATTGTATCTAAGCCGAATCTGTACATTAAATATTTTTTGGAAAATCTTTTGAAACAAACATTATTATCGATACTGAGGCCGAAACTATGGTTTTTAGAATTTTTGTCTGTCTGTATGTCTATCTGTCTGTTACCGCATCATAGAAAAGCCACTGGAGGGATTTTGATGAAATTTGGTATGGTGATATCTGGTTATCCGGGCCAACATATAGCACACTTTTTACCGCGGGAAAATGTCTCATTTCTGAGAAAAAATACAAAAACTGCAATGTAAGGATATACTAATATGTAAAACCTAAGAATTTGGTTTTTGGTATCTGAACGCTGGCGGAGCCGCGGGCAATGCTAGTCTAACTATAGTACATAATATATAATAATTGACTATAAACATATTTAGCTCTATCTAAATGTAATGTTTAACTTACTTTTGCTGCCATGTTGATTGGTTTGTTTACTATCGTGTTATGTTTTTTGTGCGCCGGCGAAGAGCTTTTATACCAATCTTCACTACCGATGGCATTGCGCATCATACCGAACTTATAACGAATACTTCAAAAACTGGATCAAATTATGACACAAGTACACTCATTATTTAAGCCCTTACTCTCTAACTATGTCAAGTCCAAAACACAGAATTTGTTTTTTATCTTAATATAATTAATTAATCTTTAAGTGTAATGAACGTATGTGATCAGAATTTATAATCATTTGCGGTATGATTACGGTTCATAATGTTGCTGACATTCTCAAATTAACTCATAACTGTTACAATAATATTTATATTCGAGTAATAAAACAGTAAACCCGTGGCTTTGCTCGCGCTAAAACTACAGAAAAATCTCTAAATAGGTAGTTATTTTGATACATACTTTCATCCCCTATTTTACCCCCTTATAGAATGAATATCGAAAAATGCTAAAACACGTATTTATTTCATTTTATTGCAAAGCATTAACAGCAAGTTTCAAGTAATCCTAATCATAAATATTTTTTTGGATTGTATTACTTATAGCGTGTTTTTCTGTGCAAATGTGATAATCTTCTGCGGTAAAAAGTAGCCTATGCCACTCTCCAGCTCTTTAAATATCTCCCCACAAAAACTCACGCCAATCCATCACTCCGTTTCGAAGTGAAAGAAGGACAAACAAACAAAGAAACAAACACACTTTCACATTTATAATATTAGTATGGATTATTAGAAGAACAAAAAATATAACTTCTAAACGTTTAAAAAAATATTAAGAATTAAATTAAAAAATCTTGTGTCAAGAAGTAAAAATACGTATATGTATATATTTTTTGGAGTTCCGCAACTAAAAGGTAAAAATAGGATCCTTATAATTTCGTCACATCAGATATTATGTTAAGTGGATTTTAGACATGTAATTTTTTGATTAACAGCCGCAAAAATAACTTTGACTTCATACTATCTTTATGAAATACTACAATATTTTTGTCCTAGATTATTTTTGTAATCGATAGAATTAATAGTGTGGATGTGTAGATATTTTAGTGTGCTTCTAACCTAACATGTTAGTGAAAAAACATAACACCAATTTAATGTTCCGACAGAATCCTTCCGCATGCGAGCTAGTCATGGTCGGTGGTATACTTGTACTTGTCCGCTTCTAATTTTGTATAGATATTTCAAAATATTATTTGATTTAAAATGAGCAAAATGTATCAATTTGCCATATTGTAATTTTTTTAATTCCGTTTCTTTAAAGCGACTCTAACGACCCAATGGTCGTTATTCCAATATTCGTAATCCCTATACAATTATAGGGATTACGAATATTGGAATTACGGCTTTGGAAATTTCTTTCTAAAATAGCTACTGATGTAGTTTAAATGTTTATCAAAATCAGCCACTTGGTTGAATGCGTTTTCCTAAAATACCTTTACCGGAAAAGTACATACATACCCTTAGGAATTTTAAAGAAGTAAAAATATTTATATATATGGCTATTAGTAACACAATGTTGGTAAAATACAAGTGAGAATAATCAAAATCAAATTAAACTACACTTTATTCAAATAGACTTCAAATATACTTTTGATTCGTTAATTTTTCATTAAAAAAAAATATGTCTGTATGTAAGTCCGTGAATCTACTACCGGCTTGGAAGGCAGCTCTGCTGAGAAGAGCCGGCTTGAGACTCTACAGTTGCTCTTTACAATATTTATTATTTATGTGCAAATCGTACGTGTGTATCAACTAATAAATACTAATCCGTGACGGAATAATATGCTTATAATAACTCTTACTAATATTCCCGATTACCGAAAGTTGTAAAACACAATTATTGGTAATCGCGTAGGTATAATTACGAGCCGGGGGAAATGACGTGAGAAAATAAAAAAAATCTATGAAGTTTGAGTATATTTCATAGTGTTACTCACTATGAAATATATACCTAATTCTATATTCCACTGTTAGTTGGAATGACGTTAAAATAAAAAATATTTTAGTTGTAAGTTTTAAACGGAATGAATATTGATATTACACTACAAACTGGTTTAATATTTTCCCACGGGCAGTATTTTGTCAATAATTCAAATACTTTTATTGCTCTTGCCGTTTTTACCTCGTGTAACAAGTTGTTTGAGGCTGATCTGGTTTCGTTATTACTAAATTATTGCTATATGTAACATTAGTATGACTATAATTATACTGTAGTTGTTTTAATTGTAAAATAAAATCACTTAGATTATAATTACGCGCGTTAAATTTACATTTTTATTAAACACCTTTTTTAAGTTAATAAGTGTTTTTTTAGGCCCACGAGTAATTCATACGCTAAATAAATGTACACGTAATACATATAAAATCTTTTAAATATTACAAAAATAACCAATATTTTAATTTTTAAGCTGTGTAATGAATTAATAACAGATATATAGAAACACTAGCATTGCCCGCGGCTCCGCCCGCGTTCAGATGACCAAAAACCAAAATCTTAGGTTTTACATTTTAGTATACACTTACATTGCAGTTTTTGTATTTTTTCTCAGAAATGAGATATTTTCCCGCGGTAAAAAGTATCCTACATGTTGACCCAGATAACCAGCTATCATCATACCAAATTTCATCAAAATCTGTCCAGTGGTTTTCTCGTGATGTGGTAGCAGACAGACAGACAAAAATTCTAAAAACTATAGATTCGGACTCTGTATCCATAATAATGTCTATTTTAATTAGATTTTGCGAAAAATATTTAATGTACAGATTCGACTTAGTTACAATTTTATTATATTTAAGTATAGATTAAGTTTATTCCATACTGTAATTTATGCTAGATATGTATGGGATATGCTTGCTAGCTATAAGTACTGAGTTGGTACCTACACATATATACAATGTATTATTTATAATTAGGGACTGTCGGTCGCGGTACAATTATCAAAACGCTAACAAAATAAAGTACGGCGTAAGCCAGTGCAAACTGTATTAAAACAGGCAACTTTTTTTTGTTATCCTTTTAGTTCATTAGAATTAGATAGACCTTTCTTCTTCTTCCTGCCCAATTCCCAAATTACATGGGGTGAGCGCAGTACGTCTACCATACTGCTGATCGGTTTTGGCAAAAGTTTTACGGACGGCCGCCTGCCTGACATCACCCTCTTTGGGAATGCTGTTGTTTATCAACGTCGTGCAGAAGACCAGAGGTGCGATAACCAGCACAGGATCGATTTCTACGACCCTTGCAGTATTTTATCTTAATTTTATTTGCTGTGACGTTTCAATATCCAATTTAGAGTTAATTTTGTTAAATATGTAGATAATCATTCAATTTCATGTCAAACCATAATGTGCACCATAATTCAGCCATTGTAATTTTATTTGTAATTGAGCCACTATATTTAGGAAAATGTTTTTTTTGTATATTAATTAGTCAATGCGGAAGTGGAACTTAACCTATGTGCTTGATCAGTGAAGACAACGGTCACTTACAAATTTTGAATATGGCAACCTTTATTAAAAAGTCCTGTTTTTTTACAAATAAACTATGTTTATCATTATTATATATAATCTTCTCTATACTTGGTCATCTAATAAGATGACTCTGTTCCTATTTAAATAGAGTTGTTATTATTATGCACTTTATTAATTACTAGCGGTTCGGGTTCGCCCCTAGAGAAACAAAAAAAACTATCCCACGGGAACCGTACCTTTTTCCGGGATAAAAGCCTATGTGCTATCTATGATCTAAATCTGTGCCATATTTCATCCAGATCTGTTTAGCCGTTCTGGCGTGATTTAGTTACAAACATCCATCCAAACATTCAAACATCTAAACTTTCACATTTATAATATTAGTAAAATTTGTATTATTTTTTATTTAGTACTAATTACATTTATATAAATATGTTTAAGTAAAAAAATAATCTATCTTTATTTATAACAAATAATTCATTACTTAATGTTTCATTTGGAAGAAATAAATACACTTATGAGTTTCATTTTTACTTTAAAATTATTTTGCAATACTTGCAATTATGCAATAATGGAATATATGCCATTACAATAAGTTTAATACAACAGTCTTAATAATAATAGTGTTTTACAGCAATATTATGATTTTTCAATATATATTTTTAGAAAAATAAATAAATATAACAACAACTCTACTCTATATAGATTTTATTCTGTCTGACTCCCGAAAGCGATTCTTTTTCGGACGACAAATTTAAAAACGTGCGTGATGCGAGTAAGTAAGTTCTAATTTGTGTTAATACAAGAACTTACAATTTTTGGGGTTTACTCTTTGGTTAACTTAACGTTAACTTACGACGCCACTTTTTGAAGAGTTATTTGTTAGTTTTTTTATAGATCCCTCAGTTGTAGATAGGTACCCCTACTAACTATTTTTTGTTTTTAAACCCCGACGCAATAAGAGGACTGTTATAAGTTTAATGTGTGTATCTGTGTGTCTGTCTGTATCATCGTAGCACCCAAACGGATGAACCGATTTTTATTTAGTTTTTTTTTGTGTGAAAGGTGACTTGATCAAGTGTATTTTTAGCTATATATAAAAAAAACTGTTCAACCGTTTGCAGGCTATGACGACTTTTCTAGACGGTAAGAGACTACGAACAATTTCTAAAAATCTGATCCATTCGAAACTTGGTATCCCATTACTTCAATGATATTGCAATAATATGGCTTAAACCTTGGCCTGATGCTGTAGCATCACCTGCAATCTGCAAGATACTCAACTCTATACTGAAATACTACGTGGTTAGGACGTGTTTAGACTCATTAAAATGACTTTAATGAATAGGTTATTGTGTTCAGTGTTTGGTTTTAATTTAAATAAACTACGTATTTTAAATCACATGGCGACATCTATTGACGAATATCTAAATAACACAAATAAATATATTTGGAGTTATTTTTTTAATGAATAAAATAACGCTGTCGATGTTTTTTTTTTCAAGATAAGCTATTTTGAATCCTTTTTTACCATATTTAGTAAGTTACATTACTAAAATGCTTATATTATCATCGTGGTTTTATTTAAACCAATTTTTGTACTTTTTCTCAGAAATGAGATATTTTCCCGCGGTAAAAAGTATCCTATATGTTGACCCGGAAAACCAACCAGCTATTATCATAGAAATTTCATCAAAATCCCTCCAGTGTTTTTCTGTGATGTGGTAACAGACAGACAGACAGACATAAATTCTAAAAACTATAGATTTGGCTTCTGTATCGATAATAATCTATACATTAAATATTTTCCAAAAAATATTTAATGTATAGATTCGGCTTAGTTACAATTTTATCATTTGTATAGATCGACTTAATTATCCAGATAATTCGGTGTTTAATTTATCATTATTTATTTTATACATAATAAATATATTTTATCGTAAATAATTTTTCAATTAGACACTATCAACTTCTGCACTTTCTGCATTCAAGTAATATATATTTTATAATATAAATTATAACTACTTCTACTACTACTACGACTAGTAGCGAACGTCTAACAAAAAGCGCTTTCGTTTACTTCCTTTCGACCGGGGGTCCACTGACCCCTCAGTACTCATATATAAATATATATATTTATATATATATATATAAATATATATATATATATATATATATATATATATATCAATTTTTACACGTGTTTACATTTTTTTAATTTTAAGCTTAAGCAACAAAGTTTGTAAATGGTATTTTTTTTGTACCTACAATATTTTCTATGTCTGCTGTTTTTAATTTAAAAGTCTGCAAAGTTTTTATTATATGTAAGTAAAATATAAAATTTTTAGTTTACTATTAATTTTAGCAATTAAGGGATGATGATGAAAATTACTATATATTGAGAACAATATTAGGTATAATATAAAACATGTTTTGTATATAATGCAAATTCCGAATTAGTAACTCTTTCTTGCCAACTTCTGTCAAAAAATTATAAAACTTACTGCTTAATATTTATTTCGTCATTACAAAAAATTATACCATTCATTCATTTTATAATATCACATGATACTTATACAGTTAATATGCAATATAAATTGCTATAAAAGTATAGGAATTAAAATACATTACATATTTATTACTAGCGAAAAACAAAAATAAATTTATCCCACGGGAACTGTACCATATTACCGGGATCTTGTGCTATTTCAGTCTAATATATCTCTGTGCCAAATTTTATGCAGATCCGTTCAGTCGTTCTGGCGTGATTGAGTAACAAACATCCAAACATTCATCTAAATTCTAAACTTTCACATTTATAATATTAGCAAGATTAGTAAGAAGTAAGGTAAAGTTATAAATCGGCGCAATTTAGAAGTGACCCAAACAATGTCAATAATAAGCAGTATTTCATAAGTTCGATATCCATCAATCAGGTGTGCATTCTTATCTGGACGTGTTACACGCATTAACGGTTCGAGCGACCACACCCAAGATATGTGGGCCAAGGTTTAAAGCCTTTTAATTTCCCCATCCAAAACCACTACAGAGAGATCCGGTCTTTCTGCAGCGCTCAAGCTACTCTCGATGAAATGTAGAAAGCGAGAGACCAAGATAGAATGGATACACTTGATAAACTTGATTCACATTTTTTGCTCGACTAAAACACCTTGTCTGGATATTTTTAAATGAACCAATAAAATATTTGCGGTACGAAGGTTTTATTTTAAATCTTATATAATATGGAATATAAAAGCTTTCTGTGCTGCATTAAAGCAATATCGAATATTATTTATGACTTTATAGTGAAATGAGTGCGATATTTTATATTATTTTTAAATGCATTATAATACTCTATTGCATGCAATAATACTCTATTGCATTTTAAATGTATTTTATTCTTATTTTAGTTATAAAGAAGAAGAAGTATATATTAGTCATTACTGCATCGATCGATGATCCGGTGCAGAAGTTAATCTATACATATAATAAAATTGTAACTAAGCCGAATCTGTACCTACATTAGATATTTTTTGGAAAATCTTATTGAAATAGACATTATTATCGATATAGAGTCCGAATCTATAGTTTTTAGAATTTTTGTCTGTCTATCTGTCTGTCTGTTACCGCATCACGAGAAAGCCACTGGACAGATTTTGATGAAATTGGTTTTCCGAGTCAACATATACATATAGGATACTTTTTACCGCGGGAAAGTATCTTATTTCTGAGAAAAAATACAAAAACTGCAATGTACGAGTATACTAATATGTAAAACCTAAGAATTTGGTTTTTGGTCATCTGAACGCGGGCGGAGCCGCGGGCAATGCTAGTAAGACATATTGGCAATGCTATTAAGACATAGTTTACTTGCGTTCTTAGTTATTATACATATATGTATATCAGAAAATAGTATAGTTACCTTCACCTCAATTCTTTTAGTGGCAGCGTTTTCTTCTTCGTATGCAGGAAATGAAAAATCGTATCTATTATAGGTACCTTGATAATGACATTTTAACGACTTCATAATGCATACTGCATAGCATTGGCCGTTTACTCTACAAATACTGTCTTTGTGGAAGTCATTGCTCAAGTTTATATTAAAAACCACGCTTTACATGAAGTAAACCGAAATAAACATCTAACTGTTTTAAATAAAACTATCTTTTCGGACTTTGTCGCGGATTTATTTGCATTTTTGTTTAGTTGTTACAGACAGCCTACCCACAATTAACAATATACCTTCAAAACATGTAACACCTCAGTCTCTCCCGTGACCATGGATGCTGTAAAGTATTTGAAACGTCGGGAAACAAAAATGCAAATAAATCCGCGACAAAATCCGAAAAGATAGTTTTATTTAAAATGTCAAATATTCGCGTAAATCTAAGAAAGTATTAAACATCTAACTGATCAATGGTGTAATTGATTCAAATATTTGAACCATGTGGGAAATGACTCGATGACCATAACATATTAAGCAGTGTTGGGCAAGCACTTTTAATAAAATACTTTTTAACAAAGCATTATCTGTGTGGAATACCTCCATATAAACAAAAAGTCAAATACAGCTACTGATAAGTTAAATATAGATATGTAATATAGATATGTAATAAGTATTACATAACGGTGCACCATAATATGAATGCAAGATTTATGCGAGCTGTCAGACACGTTATTTATAATACTATATATTAATATAATTGAGAAATTTCGTTACTTAATCTAAAGATTAATTTTTAAAGCAAAATTAATTACCTGTTAACAGGATGATCTAAGTTTTTGATATAGGTAGGTAGTTAGGTACTCATACAAACTTAACGTGTTTATCTATAGGTACATATAATAAAATTGTAACTAAGTCGAATCTGTATATTAAATATTTTCTGAAAAATCTTATTGAATAGATATTATTATCGATACAGAGGCCGAATCTATAGTTATTAGAATTTTTGTCTGTCTGTCTGTCTGTGACCGCATCACGGAAAAACCACTGGAGGGATTTTGATGAAATTTGGTATGGTGATAGCTGGTCAACATATAGGATACTTTTTACTGCGGGAAAATATCTCATCTCTGAGAAATCTATACTAAACTTTATAACTTTATAAAAACATACCTTTATTCAATTTTGAGTTATTAAAAAGCTACGACCTACACATGATAATTAATTACTCTGGATTAAAGTGATTCAAACAGCATTACAATATAAATATCAGAATTCAAAAAATGTCCTACTTAAAAATATACTGCACTTACATATTTATCTTATGTAAAGCTACATTTTTGCAGCCTTTTATAGGAATCGATTTTTAAAATACCTCATTTTATAGCAGTGATTTTTCACTTTTACCAACTTGACCTTTATTTAGTTTGTCACTGGTAACCTTTACGGTAAAATGTTAAAGCGTCACAGTAATTTTTGAACTCATTTCGATGAAAAGTTGCTTAATTTTGCAACAATTTTATTCTTCACACAAATATATATGTATGGAAGTTATGTAAAAATATTAAATTAATTAATTTTAATTTTAATTTAAAATTAATAAATACAATGATAGCAATATATTAGAAACTTTAAACACAGTTTAAAGTATTACTAACTTTTTGAGTTAAGTAACCATACTTGAAGTAAAAAAGTTTTATGTTTTATTAAAACAGTTTAAAGTATAAAAATAGGTAGAGAGTTACTTGTACCAACCAATTAGATATTTATTATTATACCTATATAATTATTTGGTAACCATATTTTTATACACGCATATGTAGGTAGATCTATACAGATAAATAAACTTGAAGTGTCTGCTTGTAATGTTAAAATAACAGATTTTTTCTAATTGCATATGAAATTATATGCGGTACTTATATATATTATAATTAAAACACATTTTTTTAAATTTTTGTCTGTCTGCTTATTCCGGATATCTCTGAAACGGCTGGACTGATTTTGACGGTACTTTCACTGGAAGATAGCTGATGTTATAGGGAGTAACATAGGCTACTTTTATTTTAGAAAAAGAATTAGGGTTCCACTCAAAAAATTAAAACGTTCCTAGGGACGGGTCCGAGCGAAGCGAGGGTCGCTATATATAATATACAATCTATTTATTCCATACTAAACGGAAAAACGTACCTAGACGAACCCGAGCTAAGCGAGGGAGAGTCACTAGGATGTAATAATATTATATTTTTAAAACATTGTGTAATAATGCTTAAATACATCATTAAAGTTAATAAAAATTTTAATGAATATTTAATTTTCTAATCCTATCTATAGATGATAAATTGCCTAACAGTAACAATGTCACCATACTCGTGCAAGGTGTTTTTACTAGTAATTATTTCATATCAAGATCGACTTACTGAGACTTTTTAACCATACGACCTTCACCTCACCGTCAGCTGTAGGTTTAATTAGTGCATGGTCTATAGCCTGCGGCCGGTTATATGTCACTATGCCCAAAACCCCGCAATTATTCATGTAGGTATAAATACTTACGCCGACCACATTCAGGTATAGTTACATTACGACAATCAATCCAGTAACAATGGCAGCTAAGGTAAAAGAGTCAATAAAATATACACAAAATATAAGTTTTATCTTAAATAATTTTAAAATTAATATGTTTTTCTAATGTAAAATATTTATTACAGTTCTTCGTCGTTCTCTCCCTGGCTGTGGCCGCCTCCGCTATCCCAGTGGTTCCCGTCGCTAAACTAGCGTACGCCGAGCCCGAAGCGCCTGCCCACTATGAATTTCAGTACTCCGTGCACGATGAGCACACCGGTGACATCAAACAACAACAAGAGGCTCGTGCTGGTGATGACGTGCACGGTTCCTACTCCCTCGTCCAGCCTGATGGCGTACACCGTATCGTAGAGTACACTTCCAACAAGGAACACGGTTTCAACGCTATCGTACGCTATGAGGGTACCCCCATCCCCGCCCCCGCCCCCGCCAAGGTTGCCAAGCTCGCCTACTCTGCCCCCGTCGCCTACTCTGCCCCCGTCGCCTACTCCGCACCTGTGACCAAAGTATCATACGCCGCCCCCGTTGCCAAGCTGACATACGCCGCCCCTGTTGCCAAGCTGACATACGCCGCCCCCGTTGCCAAGCTCGCCTACGCTGCTCCCGTAGCTAAGGTGGCGTACGCCTCTCCTCTCACCCAAGTCAGCTACTCATCACCCATCGTCTCTTACCACCACTAAATCTGATGTGTTACTGTTAACGTTCTTTAATTTATTATTATGATAAATAGTTACAAATAAATTGTTTGTTTAAGATTCATAATATGGTTTCACTTTGTTTGTTTAAGAATTAGTAAGTATAATATGAAACAGATGCTAATAAGGAAGAATAAGTTTAAAGTTAAAATGAAAAACAGTATTTTAACTATAAGCAAACAACTAAATTATGAATATATGTAGGTACCTATAGGTATTGTAAATTGCTAACAAATTATATCTGTTAAAAATAATTTATTAGAGAGCTACAGATAACACCTCGTTTATTTTTTATATTAATAATCTGGAGGTACGGCAGTGCCCTCGCAAAGTCAAGCAAAAAAGAACACAGCCGTAACATTCGTTTCACAAAGCAATTCAGATCGTTTTCGACACCCTGTAACTTCTTTGTGGATAAAGCTAGAAGCCTGAATTCTTAGTGACTAAGAAGACATAATATAACGAATATATTCCCAAATTACATTTAATTTGAACCTGCAGTTTAAAAACTATTTCAGGTCAAAGTTCTTTAATTTCGTCACTCACACCGATCATCAAAATTTTAAGATACTTCTAGAAGACAAACGCGCTTCAAGTTTTGAATTCAATGTGTTTAGCCTATAAAGCAAGGAAAGACTAAAACGTCCCGCAATTCCAGTCCCGTTTTCTAGATCCTATACAACTAACTAACAAAAAAAATAGATATGCGATATATGCGATTACAAAGTTACTTTTGCAGTTCATATAATCTTTAGTCCTTTAAACTACCCAAATGGATAGGTAGATAAATAGTGGATATATAACACAGTAAGCCACAGACGATATATCATTTAATAATTTACCTACACTATACTTCTAAGTCGGCGCAGCGTGACGAAGGCAAGCGATAAGATTGAGATTTTGGCGATCTTATACTCGTATCAGGCAAAATTGAGTTAGGTATACGCACAAGAAATAGTACTGGAATTCGGAAAAGAAAACAAAGTAGAACTGTTTAGAAAAGAATTGAGATCAAATGAAAACATAAAATAAAAAAAAAATTGCAAGTCTCGCAACGTAGTTCTTGTACCACAAAAAAAATATTGAGATCTAATATAAAACCAAGTCGGTAAAATTGTTTAGTACCTATAAGTATATGGAGGCATCTATCCCACAACTTCGCCATAGATTGTCAGCTAATTATATTAAATAACAATATTTTATAGAGATCAATATTAAATATCTTTATTTCTTTAATAACTAAAATGAGTTGGCCATCGGACGGAAGTATAATCACATAAGAATAATCTACTATTTTAAATACTTTTAATCGAACATACCGCTAGCGAGTCAAATTTATTCATACACAAACATAAATAATGCGTTAAAAACGCTAATAAATTATTTGCAGTGTGCGATGGCCAAGTCATTCTATTTATTAATTAAGACTTTAATACCTGTATTTTTTTTTCATAATCATAAATTATGTATCTAGAATATTCTGTTATGAATATGAAATTACAAATCGGTATCCAGGTGTTAATAGAAACTATTTTCTGTTTTTTAAATTTGTTTTTTTTTAATTGTTTATTTATTTTTATGTCACTTAGTCTTGCTTTTTTTCTGACGCTCGTTCATAAATCAGTTCTGAATGCAAATGTCATTTTTAAATAGTTGAAAATATTTTCTAATAAGCTAAGCACATCTAAGATTCTGATTAAATTCGCTATCAAATAATAAAAAAGGTGAATAGGAAACAATCTGACCTGCGCACGGAAGCTTCAGTGCACCATAGATTAAATATTTTTAATGTGACTTACGTAATTTGTTAAGCTATAAATAAAAAAAATGCGCATCCACAATATTAATTTTATTAAAATTGAAAATAAGTTTATTTTTCATAGTAAAAAAAAATTAATAAGCAAAGTTTAGTTTTCAAATGCTATTCTCCAACTTCAAATGAAACATAAACTCGTCACCGTAAATTTTTTTTAATGATGAACCTATTAGTAGGTAGGTACGTATTACTTAACGATAGGTCAACGAGAAGCGTACTTATAGTTCTGATTAATTGATGAATTTCAAAATACCTATGCTACAAAAATATATTATACGTATATTACCACATGTAACCATGTATACGTGTGGTTATGGTAGTTATGTAAAAAAAAGGTTATGGTCTATCTGTCCACTCGACCAGCTTAGCTTAACAATCAAATCCGTGCCGTTTTAGCGTGAATGAGTAACAAAGATACACACACATTAGACATTATTTAGTCAAATACTTATATCTTGGATTACATTAAGAATATTTAATCCCATTTATAATATTAGTAAGCGAAGCATGAATGTCTGGACTTTTTTATGAAAATTGTATTGATATGCGAAATCTATACCTACATATAATAAAATTGTAACTAAGCCCAATCTGTACATTAAATATTTTGTGGAAAATCTTATTGCAATAGACATTATTATCGATACAGAGGTCGAATCTATAGTTTTTAGAATTTTTGTATGTCTGTCTGTTACCGCATCACAGAAAAACCACGGGAGGGATTTTGATGAAATTTGGTATGGTGATAGCTGGTTATCTGGGTCAACATGTAGGATACTTTTTACCCCGGGAAAATGTCTGTTTTTTGAGAAAAAATACAAAAACTGCAATGTAAGAGTATACTAATATGTAAAACCTAAGAATTTGGTTTTTGGTCACCTGAACGCGGGCGGAGCCGCGGTTAGTGCTAGTATGTAATATATTTATGCTTGGGATAAAAGGTGATATTTAAAAATAAAGAGTAAGATTAATGGAATCCAATATCCTGATCTTCGATAGTAATAAGAATAGGTATAAGAAATATTCTTGATTATCCTTGACTGCTATGGACTGCAATTATTTAGTAGAAAAGTAAACGAATTTATAAAATCTTAACAAATTATTTATTTGCAACTATTAATATCATAAGAATAAATTAGAAATCTTTAACAACAGCAACTGCTACATCTAGTGTTGGTAGGAGATGACGGGGGATGAGTAGCTGACGTGTGCGAGGGGAGCGGCGTAGGCTACTTTGGTAACAGGGGCGGAGTAGGCGACGGGGGCAGAGTAGGCCACCTTGGCGACGGGAGCGGCGTAGGCGAGCTTGGCGACGGGAGCAGCGTAGGCGACCTTGGCGGGAGCGGCAATGGGGGTGCCCTCGTAGCGTACGACGGCGTTGAACCCGTGCTCCTTGTCGGCGGTGTAGTCCACGATGCGGTGCACTCCATCAGGCTGCACGAGGGAGTAGGAACCGTGCACAGCGTCTCCCGCGCGAGACTCTTGTTGCTGCTTCACGTCTGCGCTGTGCTCGTCATGTACGGAGTATTGGAACTCGTAGTGGGCGGGGGCTTCGGGCTCGGCGTATTGGAGCACGGGCAAAGCGGAGGTGGCCGCGGCCAGGGCGAGGACGATCATTATCTGTAAAAATTAAATATTTTTATTTATAATTTAAATTATATTAAAACGTTTTATGATTCATGTTTATAATATAAATTGTGATATTTAGGTATATTATGTACATATGTATAATTAATTTCACCTTAGCCGACATTGTGGTTGTCGTCGCGTCGTAGTGAATGTAACAGTCTGAATATACTGAATTATTTATGTTGCGAGCTTTTATAATCGTATCCTTCCGAGGCTACTGGTAGATATGAGAAACTTTCTCACTTTTACAATGTGCTATGTACAGGTTTATGTGTGAGTCCCTTGTTTTGTTCTATAAATTGTAGAAAAAATAAATATGACAGAGCCATGGCAAAGTTTAGCTAAATATATTTTTTTTAATTTATTTTTTTCGCTTATGTTGGATTTGGGTAAATAAAATACGTTTATATTCAATATTGTAGCTCCTCTATTCCATATTAAGTTCTTTAACAAAGCAGATAAAACAGACATGAGAGTTGAGAAATCGCCGCCATAGATGACAAGACAAGTGTTGAAAGATACAAAAATGTTAAGAGTGGATGAGCACAGATAAATGTTTTTATTGTACTATATCTCGCAGCTTATCAAGTGTTATGTGTCATATTTCATTAAATTTATGTTGTGCATTATTTAATGTTATTTGTGGTAAAGCGTTCGCTTAGTGAAGCGGATTTAACGCCTGGGTCTCGCACCTATTAATCTAATATCTTCATGTACGAATCCTTTTCAACATGTTTACAACTTATATTACGGTGAAGAAAAACATCGTAAGGAAACTTGCATGCCTGAGAGAACCTAGCAAGTTTTCAAAAGACATGTAAAGTCCACTACCTCGCCCTTGGCCGGCGTGGTGGACTATGGCCTGATCCCGATCCACTCATTGTTTGTATCACTACATAGTATAAAACAAAGTCGCTTCCCCCTGTCTGTCTGTCCCTATGTATGCTTAGATCTTTAAAACTACGCAACGGTTTTTATATGCGGGTTGTTTTTAATAGATCGAGTGATTCAAGAGGAAGTTTTTGGTATATAATTTGTTAAGTTTTTGTTTACATTGGCTAAAATATAACGATATTTGTTGGAAGTGTCGGAAAAAAATAAGCCATCTGGGAGCTTTCAACGAAAACGCTGCCTAAACCCTTTGAAATATAGCAAAATAATTATAATAATTTATTTATTTAAGACACAGTCCACTTGTTAGTTACATTAAAAACTTACAACTACGTCAGTAAATCTTATAGTTGAATAATATAATATACCTACTAAACAAAAAAAAATTAAATTTTCTTTGGCTTCCGATGAGACTCCTGTGCTAATGTATGGTGGAATTGTGTATATATAGGTCTACAGAAGAGTCTGCGATGGCATAGGTATGTCTATCTCTTAAGGATAACGTACTATATACATTTTAATTAAAAACGTTCCTAGGGACGAACCCGAGCGAAGCGAGAGTGAGTCGCTAGTTATTATAATATTTCTATACAAACCAACCAAACCAAAAGCAAAGTTAATTTTGCGACCGTTAAGCTAAAAAATCTTGAAATTAAAAATATCCCATGTCTCAAAACTACTCGACATATCTTGACCAAAATGATTTTCGTTGAAAATATTTTAGATGTTTTATTACTATTATATTTCATTATATTTCATCCGATTTTACCGACCAACCCGATACACGGGCACTTTTTTATTTTAGAGGGTGCACATTGCACAACTTTGGGAGCATTTATTTTTTGGGGCAAGTATTGGCTTAATGTAAAAGTCATTTAAACACACGCATACAATAAAATGGCAGTGGTAGTCCAATGGTAACGCGCTCGCTTGGGAAACCGAGTGAAGCGGGTTCAAACCCCGGGTCTCGCACCGCTGATATTTTCATGTGCGAATCATTTCTAACATGATTACCACTTGTCTTAACGGCGAAGGAAAACATCGTGAGGAAAGCTGCATGTCTGAGAGAACCTAGCAAATTTTCGAAAGACATGTGCAGTCCGCCAACCCGCACTTTGCCAGCGTGGCCAATGGCCTTATTCCCTTCGTACCGAAGGGAGGCCCGTGCCCAGTAGTGGGACATTAAAAAGGGCTGAATACATACATACATACATACAATAAATAAGGACATTCATTATTTGGTTCACTTTTTAGAGTTCTCACAGACTTTTCCCGAATTTCAAACCTATAATACCTACCAGTGTTCATGTATATAGCTGTAACATACTTACGTCGCCCGTGATAAGCATTATAACTGATTGTAATAATCCGTAATAGACAATTAAATATAAATACACAAATAACAAAAATATGTAGAGTTATTTTTGGGGTCAAACTAGATAGATAGTCAAAAGTGCATTTTGTAAACCATCAAATGAAAGACTTTTAATACTTTAAAAATAATGAAATAACTTTTTAATACTTAAAAAATAACGACGAACTTAGTTAAAATTGAGGTATTGGTACTTTTGCCGATGCTAAGAACTACATTAGTTAAACCTAAAACACAAATATAAAAAATATTTCACGTGATTTCTATAGCATATCCAGAAACAGGAAAGAGTTAATGTAGGTTGAACTTGAAGAATTGGTTATCTAATTATTTATATTTGCAAAACCGTTATATATTCTCATTCTTGTTTGGTGCATAAATTAAAATAAATTGAATAAGTACACTATTTATTAAAAAATATACATGAAATACCTGGCCGCTAGCGGGCAAAAATGTCTTTCTTATTTCATTATTTTTGCAATATGCGTGCATAAAAAGGAGTGCCAAAATTTTGTAGCACATTCAAACTTAAATATTCACAGCGACAACACGTACTCGTACAATGTCCGCTAAGGTTAGCTATATAGAAAATGTACATAATATTAGTAGACGTATACCTGCCTATATTTGTATATTTTTCTATGAGATTGGAAGATCACTTAAAAGCGTTTTAGATATAGAAGATACATATATCTCTATAATATATGTATTTACTCACTGTTACAGATTGTGATCGTTCTCGCCCTGGCCGTGGCCACCTCCGCCTTGCCCGTGCTGCAATACGCCGAGCACGAAGCTCCCGCCCACTATGAGTTCCAATACTCTGTACACGACGAGCACAGCGCAGACGTGAAGCAGCAACAAGAGTCACGCGCGGGAGACGCTGTGCACGGTTCCTACTCCCTCGTGCAGCCTGATGGAGTGCACCGCATCGTGGACTACACCGCCGACAAGGAGCACGGGTTCAACGCCGTCGTACGCTACGAGGGCACTCCCATCGCCGCCCCCGTCAAGGTCGCCCACGCCGCTCCCGTCGCCAAGCTCGCCTACGCCGCTCCCGATGCCAAGGTGGCCTACTCTGCCCCCGTCGCCTACTCCGCCTACTCCGCCCCTGTTACCAAAGTAGCCTACGCCGCTCCCCTCGCACACGTCAGCTACTCATCCCCCGTCATTTCCTACCAACACTAGATGTAGCAGTTGTTTGTTAAAGTTTCCTAATTTATTACTTGATGTGATATAAATAGTTACAAATAAATGTTTGTTTAAGATTTTATATAATAGTATAATTTTATATAATAATACCTATAATATTACGTTCTCAGTATATACACACACTATAATAATAATAAATATGTCAGGTCATTAACACACAACGCCATCTAGTTCCATGGTAAGCTACGAGGCTTGTGTTATGGATACCAGATAGTTGAAACATTATACATATATAACTTTAAATACATACATATTATAGATATAAACACCCATGACTGAATTACAAACATTCGTGCTCATCACACAAACGAATGCCCCCAGCGGGACTCGAACCCGCGACCGCTGGCGCAGCAAGCAGGGTCACTACAAACTGAGCCAAACGTATCGTCACTATATGTTAGGTAAAGGGTTGAGAACGATTGAAATAAAAAATAATAAGTTTAAAAAAACTCCTTAAATCGTGAGGTTGGCAACCCTGAGAATATATTATTGACCAAAACCAAAGAATAGTCGGATCTGATCTAATTCCGTCCGATTCTTTATACCTTTTAAGATTTTAATTGAATGTTTAAAAGAAATCTATAAGGGAATTTGTTTCCTTTTCATGCAAAAACTTTTTAATGGATTTTGATAAAATTTTACATGTAACATATTATAGAGTATATTTTATTGAAAATAGAATGAACCGGGAGAGAAGAATACAACTTTGTCAACATTTTTGAATTTTACTAAACTTTTGCATCCGTTGTCATATAAATTCGGATTTGGGAAGCCACAGAGAAGCTGAGACAAGAGAAGCTGCCCTGCGCCTGATCTCTCATCGGTCGTGTCGAATTGTTGTCCCATTGGAGTTTGAGAGTGACAGAAATAGGGAATGCACTTGTGTTATAATATCTCCAGTGCAGTTGGCTACCCTTAAGAGACCGGCCGCCGTGACCGAAAATGGTCAGGAAGAACTGAATAATATAATAATAATTTCATTTATCCGAGGAACTTAGTAGTTTAAAAAAAAACAGCAACTCATTTTGTTAGTAAAATTCAAAATATTTATTTATGTAAAATATGTATATCTATGTATACCTACCTATATTTGACTGAGTACATGACTCATGGAGACCTGTGGGAAATAGTGTAGAAACAGAAAAATAATGAATAGAAATTTGATAATAACTTTATTTAATTATGAAGAACAAGTGATCAATTATTTAGGATTTTACAAGTGAGTGCGAAATCCTAAGTGCTCTTCCTATCTTTTATTTTATACAGATAACTTTTTAAATTCTAGGCCCGTAGTGTCATTCTTCAACAATTGTAATGTTTGATTTGATTAAATGAGTACAAATTATTCGATTATCAAACTTATAAATTAAACAATGTTCAAGGGTCGAAACTTAATGACTGTCGAATAAACACCCGGCTGTTCGGTTATGCGACCGTATACAGGCAGACATACTTACCATAACATATAGACAAACTCAAATAAAAAAAAAAAAATTTAATCTGTGTTATTGTTAAATTACATTTTATAAATATTTGCTTTGGTTAAATATAATACTAGATTTTATATTTTAATACTAGATTTTGCCAATGGCTAGGCTCGCGAGTTAAGCGAGACTTGGATGAAAGGTAACCTATTTACGAGTACGTGCTCATGATGCAATCTATGTCCTTGCCAAATTTCATCGAAATCCGTTCAGAAGTTTAAGTGTGAAACATGTAACAGACAGACAGAGTTACTTTCACATTTAACACTTAATAAACGCTCTATTAGTGTAGATGTTTTTTTAAGAATTAATTGTTTAAACGGGTTTGATGGGCGTTTTATGTTATGTTCGTTGTTCTGTGGGTTATAGGCGTGCGATTTGGGCACAGGACAGGCGTTTTACTTTGGAAACTTACTGAAATATAATATTTTCTAAGATTTGGCATTTTAAACAAAACTATCTTTTCGGAATACCTCTCAACTAAGAGCAAACCTCCTTTAGTGCCTAAGTTTTAGCATTATTATATATAGACCTAACTATTATCCATATATTATTTTTCACTTCCATTCTTCTGTTTTCTGTGCTTTGAGATGAATATGCAACAAATAATAAAAAAACATCTACTTTTATTTCTTTTGAAGGCATGATTTATACTTAAATAAGAAAATACTGTCGTAAACATTAAGAAAATTTTACACAAAATCATCCTAATTTTCTCTCAATTATTTTTTTCTTTTACTGAAGGAATTTTGATTCAAAATCTTAAATGTCAACCAATTTAGTTATCTAAGATCATATTTTGATTTGGCATTAAGTGGCTTACTTATACCACGTAACAGGAGCAAAAGACAAAAATGCTTTTTCATATTCATTTCAGTTTATAACATACAAAATAAAATGTACATTATTTTCTTAAATAGTTATTTGTCTGTTTGAAAATTTATGAAAAACTCATTATCATTCAGCCCTTTTTAACGTTCAACTGCTGGGCACACTTTAATACGAGGGGGGATCAGGCCATAGTCCACCATACTGGCCAAGTACGGGTTGGCGGACTACAGATATCTCTCGAAAACTCGCTAGGTTCTCTCAGACACGCGGGTTTCCTTCATCGTAAGGAAAGTGGTAATCATGTTGGAAATTATTAGCTCATGAAAATGTCAGAAGTGCGAGACTCTTGAACCCGCTTCACTCGGTTTCCCAACTGAGCTACCACTGCCTATAAAAGACTATCGTCTACGAATACAATAAAACGTCTACACTCACACTAGGTACATGCTCGTACCTATCTGCAGTAAATGACAAAATTATTATTTTATGCATATTAAATAAATGAACAGAGTAGGTTCGGCTTCTGACCTAGGAATCAAACTTGAATTATTTAATATCCTTTACATAACAAATTATAATAATGCGCGACCAAGAAAGTGCCAGTTGAATTATATCAATGCTTTAGCAACGATACATATATAAAAAGGCGCGCAAAACATATTTCAGTACATTCATACTTCAACATTCACCACATCAACAACCACAATGGCCGCTAAGGTAATTTATAAAATTCCAAAACGAATATAATTGATGCTAAGTAACAATATTTAAATGGACATTATAAAATACATTAATTTATCATTATAGATGATGATCGTCCTCGCCCTGGCCGCGGCCACCTCCGCCTTGCCCGTGCTGCAATACGCCGAGCCTGAAGCCCCTGCCCACTACGAGTTCCAATACTCCGTACACGACGAGCACAGCGCGGACGTGAAGCAGCAACAAGAATCTCGCGCGGGAGACGCTGTGCACGGTTCCTACTCCCTCGTGCAGCCTGACGGAGTGCACCGCATCGTGGACTACACCGCCGACAAGGAGCACGGGTTCAACGCCGTCGTACGCTACGAGGGCACTCCCATCGCCGCCCCCGTCAAGGTCGCCCACGCCGCTCCCGTCGCCAAGCTCGCCTACGCCGCTCCCGTTGCCAAGGTGGCCTACTCTGCCCCCGTCGCCTACTCCGCCTACTCCGCCCCTGTTACCAAAGTAGCCTACGCCGCTCCCCTCGCACACGTCAGCTACTCATCTCCGATCATCTCCTACCAACACTAGATGTAGCAGTTGTTTGTTAAAGTTTCCTAATTTATTACCTGATGTGATATAAATAGCTACAAATAAATATTGTTTAAGATTTTACACGGTAGTATATTTTTCAACCTATCTATACTATAATAAAAGAGTAGAGGTGGAATGTCTCTACATATCAAAAAAAAGCTAAAAATCGAGTCAGGACGATGTAAGAAGACAAATAGAACAAATCCAGATTTTTTTCAATTTTTTTGTTTCTCTGTCTGTTTGTCTGTTTGTACGAGCTAATCTCCGAATCTATTGGACCGATTTGAATGAAATTTTGTATGGTGGTATTTTATATCGCCGGGCAACATCCTAGGTACTTTTTATCCCGGAAAATTAAATAGTTCCCGTGAGATAGTTAAAAAACTATAATAACTTATACAGCTTAGTACACAACAACTTATGCACCTAATTTAGTAAAATTTAACATTCTGATACCTTATATTGCCGGTCAAACAACAGGTTACTTTTCATCCCAGAGAAATAAACAGTTCCCGTGGGAACTAATAGATCTCTAATAGTGTTTTTATTTGTTCGCATATAAAAGTACATAGGTACACGTATTACACCCACCATAAATAATAATGCTAATATCAATTACTAAAATTTTAAAAAGTACCTTCCTACTGCCCATAGACTCTGCCATATGAATTTTAAAGAAATTGCTTATATTAGGTTATATTAGACGAATGTTATAAAGTAATAGAACTCATAAGTGATAAGAAAACTTAAGCTATTTTCTATTGAAGGGTTCTCATGGGTTAGGGAAAGCTATTCATGCATAGAAAAAACCTATTATTGTTAAAAAATGTTTATTTATTTTGTGTGAATTAACATTGTCATAGCCCCAGAGCCAAACATTAAGTAAAATCAAAGATTGCACTGAAGAACCCATACAATTCTTATCAAAAATTTCTTAGTAGATGTATACATATAATAAAATGAAAACCCCCGTTCCATTATTTTTTACCCGACGGCGCGTCACAAAGGAGGGTAATGTGTCGCTTTATAATCGATTTATAACGCGAATGTTATAGGCTATAAAAATAATTAAAAATTAAAATGGCTGATTTCAGCCGCCAATTTGTGTCTTTAAAAAAAAATTCTTCCAAATTAGTAGAGTGGGGTATCAAAATACAGCTTTTTAAGAGACAATCACAAAAATATATTTAACTTATATTCTGTGCACAATACGTAACAATATTTTTTTTAAATATTTAATGTATCGATTACGCTTTATTACGATTTTATTACATGGACTTATAGAAAAACAATTGTACCTGCGAAATATTAACTAATTTATAAAAAATAATAATAGTATCACATTATTAAAAATATATTCAAATAAATAAAATATAAATATGTTGGGACATTAACATACCATCTAGTTCCATGGTAAGCTACGAGGCTTGTATAATGGATACCAGATAGTTGATACACTACACATATAAAACTTTAAATACATACATATTATAAATATAAACACCCATGACTGATGTACGAACATTCGTGCTCATCACACAAATGAATGCCCCCAGCGGGACTCGAATCCGCAACCGCTGGCACAACAAGTCGGGTCACTACAAACTGAGTCAAACGTGTCGTCATAAAATATTCCTGCTACTAGGAAACAAAAATAAAGTACACGAGCGCGAAATTTTAAGGGCAGACTCACATACACATTCTCGTAGGTATAAGAACTTTCGCATTTATTCGCGTTCTTGAGAAAGACGATTACCTAATCTATACAGATAAATAAAATTGTAGTGTCTGTTTGTAATATCAAAATAACAGCGTTTTACTAAATGCATATGAAATTATATACGGTACTTATAAGAAAAACACAATATTTAAAATTTTTGTCTGTCTGTCTGTTTGTTTCGGATAATCTCTGAAACGGCTGGACTGATTTTGATGAGACTTTCACTGGAAGATAGCTGATGTTACAGGGAGTAATATAGGCTCTTTTTTTATTTTAGAAAAAGAATTAGGGTTTCGCTGCAAAAAAATTAAACGCACCTAGTATTTAATTATAAAAATCACGCATTACATACTGTTTGCCTGCATGGTTAAAACAAGTATTTCAATCAGAATGAAATGAAAAATTTAGTGAGCATTGCAAAATTTTTTTACACTCCTCTGTATTTTTTTCAATTAAAAATATAGAACAATCAAATATACAGCATTACCACGGTAATATTATATAACATTACCGTGGCATTACTACATTCAGTAACTGTCAGCGACTTCTGAAGCAATAATTTTCTTAAGCTTACATTTGATTTTCCAAGTATTTAGTAACGCGTTTAACTCAGGCTAGAGCAATTTTTAAATATATAGTAGACCCGTCATCCATTCGCTGAAACTCTACCTACGCAATACAACAAATATTTCATTATTTATAAAGTTTTTCTTTAAAAAAGACAAATCCACAAACAAACTTTCGCATTTGTTGATTGACTTTGAAACAGAGACTGCTAATTTTGGTGTAGATATACGAGTATATTTCTTGTGTGTACCTACGTCACACGATATCTTAAACCGGAAATCGATATAAAATATTATAAGGCAAAAATTCCCTACCTTACTGTTAGGGTGGAATAATTACTTTTAAAAATATTATGAAATCAGTTTGCCCTTTTAATTCAAAATTAATGATAATATTCTGTCTCAGGGACCTCAGTCTCTCGAGTGACCATGATTGCTGTAAAGCATTCGAAACGTCGGGAACCAAAAATCCAAATAAATCCGCGAAAACGTCCGAAAAGATAGTTTTATTTAAAATGTCAAATATTCGCGTAAATCTAAGTATTAATGATAATACATAATTATAAAGATAATTATGTAATAAAAGAATGATGTTAAATGTTCTGTAGGTAAACTTTATTTGTTTTATATTAAAGCTTATTAAAGCTTTATGATCAGTGTAATCAAATTCTTTATTCGTAACGTTATGAATTTCAAATGTAGAGCAAAGTAATACATTAATATATTATGTAAGCTAATTATTTATTTATTAATATCCCACTCAACTTTAACTAAGCATAGGTGAAATCATACGAACACGTAATGCGAATCGTGCCAAACTACTTGCGTACGAATTCCAAGTAAAATCTTGACCTTCACCTCGCTGTCAATTGTAGCCTGGTATGCTCTATAGCCCAGGGCGCAGTTAATGTCACCATGCTTGAAAAGTATAAAATCCTAAGAAGTTTACAGTAGGACACAGTCAAACATCTACTATCAAGCAGTAACAATGGTCGTTAAGGTGTGTAACATGTGTTTAATTGAAAAAAAAATGTAAAAAAATATTTCATTAGAAGTCTTTTAATGTTCTTAAATAGAATTTATGAAATAATTATAATTTAACCATACAAACTCTTTATTTCAGTTCGTCATCGTTCTCGCTCTGGCCGTAGCCGCCTCAGCCGTGCCCTTGGTGCCCCTCGCTAAAGTAGCGTACGCCGAGCCCGAGGCGCCAGCTCACTACGAGTTCCAGTACTCCGTGCACGATCACCAAACCGGCGACATCAAGCAACAACATGAGGCTCGCGCTGGTGATGACGTGCACGGCTCCTACTCCCTCGTGCAGCCTGATGGCGTACACCGTATCGTAGACTACACTTCTGACAAGATCAATGGTTTCAACGCTATCGTACGCTATGAGGGTACTCCCATCCACGCCCCCGCCCCCGCCAAGATCGCCTACGCGGCTCCCGTTGCCAAGCTCGCCTACGCTGCTCCCGTCGCCAAGGTGGCTTACTCTGCACCCGTCGCCTACTCCGGCTACTCCGCACCCGTCGCCTACTCCGGCTACTCCGCCCCAATCACCAAAGTCTCGTACGCCGCTCCCGCAGCCAAGCTAGCCTACGCCGCTCCCCTCGCACACGTCAGCTACTCATCCCCCATCATCTCCTACCAACACTAACATAGCGGTGGTCGTTGTTACTTAATTTATTGTGTTATGTGATATAAATGGATAGTTGCAAATAAATTATTTGTTAAGATTTTACAAATTGGTTTATTTATCCACTAACTTTTTACTATGATACTGCCAGATTTACCGTACATTAAGGTTCTTTTGATAAACAAAAATTACTGCACGCTTTCAGATAAAGTCATGGGATCCAAGGTCGAGCAACATTGATAATACCAAAAGAAATTATTTTTACCCAAAAATCTTTATTTAATTACTTACATAACGTTCACACTCAATACTACATATTTCATTTAATATCCAAAAGAAAAGTTGCTGTTAAAGTACCTACTTTAAGTTTGACTCGTTTTTCGTACCAAAAACTAATCGTTTTTTATAACTTAAAGCTAAAACATCAAAGAAATGTACCTACATAGCAACTATTGATAACATCTTTGTAAAATGATTTACTGAAAATATCTAATTTATATAAAAACTAGCGACTCACCCTCGCTTTGCTCGGGTTCGTCCCTAGGTAGGCAATGTAAGCGCACAATACAAATTTTTGAATTTCTCGGCTTTTCTGTACTATAATATGCATGTATTATACATATAAATCTTCCTCTTGAATCACTCTATCTATTGCTGAAAACTGCATTAAAATCCGTTGAGTGTTTAAAAGATTTAAGCGAACAGACAGGGGAAGCGTCGTCGTGTGAAAACTAAATATTATGATCCTTTCGTCTTAAGATTTATAGTTCCAACTAGCATTGCCCGCGGCTGCGCCCGCGTTCAGATAACCAAAAACCAAATTCTTAGGTTTTACATATTAGTATACTCTTACATTGCAGTTTTTGTATTTTTTCTTAAAAATGAAACATTTTCCCGCGTTAAAAAGTATCCTATATGTTGACCCGGATAACCAGCTATCAGCATACCAAATTTAATCAAAATCCCTCCAGTGGTTTTTCTGTGATGCGGTAACAGACAGACAGACAAAAATTCTAAGAACTAAGATTCGGCCTCTGTATCGATCATAATGTTTATTTCTACTGTTACTATTTTATTATATGTATAGATAGATAACTGTAATAAGTAGATATCTTAGGTATATTACATTAATTGCATCAAATTATCGAACCGGTCCAATAATAAATAAAATAAAAATATTTTATTTGCATAAAGAAATTATAATGTTGACAAAGTTTGGGGTTGAGGTCGCCTTTTAAGCAAGTAATTTTTGCCTGTATTAATGAGAAATCAGAATTAAATAATAAACTTTTAATACTTTACTTTAAATTTAATTATCACGCGATGATTTTTTTAAATTGATTAACCTTGATTTTGACGATTTGTAAGTCGTAAAAATATTTTCTTCATGAACTGAGATCTGAATATTAATTACTATTTAGAGCCGAGTAATAGTTAACAACTCCAGGTAAATTTCTAAGAAATTAATAAAATTTCTAAGAAATCTATTTTGTTAACTGTAACGTCGGGGTGTCCGCGGTCGTTGAGGGATTAAGACTGATACTATATAGAAAAAAAACTATGAAAACTAATCGCTAATTAGCGTCCAAGAATCTAGCCGGGCGCGAAGCCAAGAAACAAAAAGGTGGATGGTGTGCCATGCGGGTTGCTCCTGGTACTACTCTGATAGCAGAGTGGACGTTTGGAGCAACTTTTCTGCTTCAGCAGACCTGCCGTCGGGGCATCGTGGTTGACTGCGTAAGCGATATAGCGACGCTTCATAAAAACGGGTTAGGTTCCGTTGGGTTTTAGTGGGTAGTACTGGCTTTGTCGGTGAGTCCCACATAACTATCTGTATGGATGCAGGTGGTATATCTAAATGAATTTTCCAACTTTAAAAAAAGAAGGCGGGGCAGTTTACAATCATAATAATATTAATGAAAGGTTGAATAGAAAGGCTGTTATCTGTATTATCTAACTCTGTATGTAATTTATATCAAATCAAAAGTTTTAAGAATTATTGACTGTATATTGCGCGCTTCTCGAGCACGGCCTGATAATTTTTTATAAAATTTCTTATACTGTAAGTAGTTAAGATATCCTTGAGTATTGAGATGTGAGATGAGAGATGTACACACAAAACAATGTGATATATATAAGATAGGAGATAGATATGTTCCGAGTTTTCAACATTCATACTTTTATAGATATCAACCTGTTATGATTTTTTACTTTGCTACCTCATAGGTATATACATAATATATTCAATATATTGGAAAATTGATTTCAATCACCGATTTTTTGATTTAATTATGAAATAGTATGTAAAATATTAAAAAAATACTCGACAAAAGTTTCTGTAATTTACATACTTCTAACCTTTTCCACGGCATATAACACCGCAAGCTATTAACACACATCTTACTATTGTCACTTAAGTATGTATTTGCATGTTTTTATGTAAATTTACTTACATTTTACCGTTAATAAATGATGTTTTACATTAAAGCTTAGAAACCCGCGGCAAAAGAAATGTTTAACTGCTAATGTTCAAAATATTTTTGCGGCATAGGTACTTGCATGCTAGTGTTAAAGTAACACTTTCACGTTTTAAGTATATAATCTATCTCTCATCGTCACGATATACTCGTTTTTCATAATTTATTTAAATTTAAAAAAGTATCCTGCGTAGTATATTACAGGGCGAAATGAAAATTCAATTAACAGAAAGAACGTCTTAATCTACCTATAGAATCTGATAATCAAACCCCAAGTGTATAATAATTATTTATATGATCATTATTAAATCGATGTATCTCCTTACATGAAAATAATAATTATTATAGTAGGTACCAAATTGCTGGATAGGCTATATATTTATAAGTATTCATATATATATATTTATAAGTATTCATTTATTTTTGAAGTGAAAACTTCTATAATACAGGTTTGGATGGGGAGTAAATTCATGTAAGTCGTCATCGACATGGTCACGTGACGTGTGAACTAACACTCACAGTGCCGATAGATATCAAAACCAGATAAATGTAAACAATTTTAATTTAAGATCAACCAATTTGAGTATCCAACATAAAACAACTGTTTGTTTATATGTATTTTGTTTTAAGTTTTCAGTTCTGTCGGCAGTCTTCATGACTGCTTTTTTTAATATATTTATTTCTAGAGTTACCCAATTCGCTTGGGCTTTACAATCAGTTACCTTTGTTGGTCCTAAAATCTGCATGCAAAATAATGTCGATTCCTTGTTCCATCCATACGTGAAAAAATAACAAAACAGCTAACTTTCTCATTTACCCATAACTTTACTAAAGGCATTATTAAATTAATACTATGACTGATGAGTCTAAAATGTAGATTATACTACTGCTAGAGCTAACTAAAATTTACTATTCAGCTCTTTTTTTTCGTCCCACTGCTGAGCACGGGCCTCCCTTCAATACGAGGGGGATCAGGCCATAGTCCACCACGCTGGCCAAGTGCGGGTTGGCGGACTTCACATGTCTTTCGAAAACTTGCTAGGTTCTCTCAGACATGTAAGTTTACTCACGAATTACGATGTTTTCCTTATTTTTATGCGTTCACATAAGGCACGCGGTAATCATATTAGAAATGATTCGCACATGAACTAAAACTTACATTATAACTGAGAAACAATCAATTATTCAATATTTTATTTTAAATATAAACCGTAGAAATGAATTGATAAAAATATGCTCATTCTTTATTTAATCATGTCACACTCAAGTTTAACTAGGCATATATGCAATCATATGAACACGTAATACGAATCGTGCCAAACTACTTACATATGAATTCCAAGTAAAGTGTTGACCTTCACCTCGTCGTCAATTGTAGCCTGGTAATTAGTGTATGCTCTATAGCCCAGGGCGTCCTGTATGTCACCATGTTAAATAGTATAAAATCCCAAGAAGTTTACAGTGAAACACAGTCAAACGTCGACAATCAAGCAATAACAATGGTCGCTAAGGTGAATAATATTAAAATTAATTTACAAATATAACGCACGTAAAACCTCAGCATAGACTTTAGTTCTGTGAAAACAAATAATATTTTTAATGTCCTTTATTATTATTTTTTGTCTAATCTGAAATATATTTCAGTTCGTCATCGTTCTCGCTCTGGCCGTAGCCGCCTCAGCCGTGCCCTTGGTGCCGCTCGCTAAAGTAGCGTACGCCGAGCCCGAGGCGCCAGCTCACTACGAATTCCAGTACTCCGTGCACGATGAGCACACCGGTGACATCAAGCAACAACAAGAGGCTCGTGCTGGTGATAATGTGCACGGCTCCTATTCCCTCGTGCAGCCTGATGGCGTACACCGTATCGTAGAATACACTTCTGACAAGGAACAAGGTTTCAACGCTATCGTACGCTATGAGGGTACACCCCACGCCCCCGCCCCCGCCAAGATCGCCTACGCGGCTCCCGTCGCCAAGCTCGCCTACGCTGCTCCTGTCGCCAAGCTCACCTACGCTGCTCCCGTCGCCAAGTTAGCTTACTCTGCACCCGTCGCCTACTCCGGTTACTCCGCCCCCATCACCAAAGTCTCGTACGCCGCTCCCGCAGCTAAGCTCGCCTACGCCGCTCCCCTCGCACACGTCAGCTACTCATCCCCCATCATCTCCTACCAACATTAAATGAATCTATACCCTTGTTATTGTTAACCTAATTTATTGATCTGATATGAATAGTAGCAAATAAACAAATTGTTAAAATTAGTTTACGTTTTATTTTTATTCACCCCATGTAAACTATTTTGGCGTTGAATTCTCAGAGACCAGAGTTACAGATTATAAAAAAAATTGTGTTTGAAAGTTTTCTTTTTTAAAACAAATAAAATTAAACAATTCATACCCGACGGTTTCACAACCTAAGGTAAATTGGCGTGTGAGTTGATGGATCCAATATCCAAACAATTTTATATTATTTGATTCATATATCGCGTACAAATCCCTTTAACATACATGTATGTCAACTTTAGTGGGAGATATATGGGGAGGCTGGGCGTGGGTGGACCGCACCTGAATTATTCATAGAGCCGCATAGTGATTTCATCTCATTGAATCGAGCTGCCAGAGGCCGTGATTACGACAACGATACCTCCGCTTGGCCGACTTGGACAATACAGCTTGTCAACTAACGCTGATAACTGATAAGCATCATTCTGTCAGCCATTTATGTGGAGATAGCTAGCTTTCATATTATAAAAAATTTTACTGGTGTAATTTTTTCATCAAAAATATGAGCACAAAAGTAAAATTAGACGTACGTTCGTAAGAATAGGTACTATATTTTACAAACATTTAAATATCTATCATTCCCTATACTGTCATAAAATTTAAAAATAATTAGGTACCTAAATTATATAAAGGTTTTGTATCTTAACGTTAAAATGTATAAACAAGATTTAAAGGTCCCCGAAAGGTCATCGCAACTGTAACCAACCGTGTTGTAAGCATCCATATCACAAAGAACGAAACACAAACAGGCGAATCCGCAAGAACCCTCTACTGTTGAATCTGAATGTTACTTATATGATTATTACTGATGTTTATCAATGACGATTCTCATGAATGAATTACCATATCTACTAATCTAGTTGTACCATTGATCCATACAATAAGAAGTATAATATAGGACATTTGTACACAAGGACAAATTTCTACTTTAAATTTAACCATGCCAAGGCATTCTTATATAAATAAAATGAAAACTACACTCGTATGTCCTAAGAATACTTGATTTTTGAAGGGTAATGAATATATAAAACATGCTGACGCAAGAAAAACATTTTCCATGTCCGGAAATCGAACCTGCAGCCACTGGTACAAATTTAATGTAATCACTAGCACATACGCAGTTGTCAATAAGAAATAGCAAAACAAAACATTTACCATATAAATCGAACCCGCTATCTCTGTAATAGTGGAGAGCACAAATCCAATATTTTCATTGTCTTGTGACTTACAAATTCTTATCGAATTTCTTAAATTAAGACAAAAATATTAAATTACAATCAAACGTTAATCTACCTAGTTGTTTCAATTGTAGAATAAATGAAAAAACTCGCGTTTACTGAACAATTGGAATGGCAGGTAAAAATGAAGAGATTGGTTTTTTTTATCTGTGGCGCGGCGGCAAATTGAATGTAAAGTTGATTTCCCGGCGGGCCTCGCGGGCTTCGCCGCATAATTCCCCACAAATTAAGCCGATACCGATTCACTTGCTACCAATGTAAATATTTTCGATAAATGCCTCCATTATATTTGTATGTATTTAATAAAACATAATATGTGTAAAATATCCAGGATAAGCCGCAAATCGAAACCATTCATAGTTTCGAACTCAACGCGGCTACGCGGTTTAGGTGTTAGTATATATGAATTGTTATTATCTGTATATTATTTTAAACTTGTTTTTGTCACGTTTTTTTTTGATTTTTCGTTCGCAAAAACCCGAATGTTTTTAGCAAACATGGGACAACGGGAGAAAAATAATAGGTATTGTTTAAAATATCAAATATTCGCGCAAACTTAGAAGGGTGAAAGTAAAAACTTTTTACACCGTTAAAAATTAAGTATTGAGTTGATAAGATAAAGATATAATAAAAGAAATAATACAGAATACATCGTACACTGATTAAAAGGAAAATGTATTAGACTTAAGTTTCAAAATAGGACCTAATTTCTATTGAAAATCATTATGAAATGAAAAAATCTGAACCTTATTTACGAATGAAAAAATGGACTAAAAACTTTTATTTATTAAAATTTCTTATTAAAAACTGTCAGTGTTACCTTAGAATTTGTTAAATATTCAAAAGTAGTCGACCATCTACCGCAGTGGTTTATCTGGTCCGCAAGGTCGTAGGTTCAATTCTTAATAAGTTCGATTTACTTGACGATTTATATTGACACATTTACAACCTTGGACCTTACCCAACGCTACTATTACGCAGGAAATATTATAGTACAAGTGTATGTAACTTATACCTAACCACTAATACAGAGTTGATGCGATCACGTACGCCAATAAAAAATCCGAAAATATTTAATAAAATCGAACCCACTATCTCTGCAACAATGGACAGTGTTAAACATATCATTTAGTAAATTTTTCTTACGTTTTACATTGACAAATGAGAAGCTTTGGAGTTCGGACATTGTTCATAACTATTTAGACTACGCAGGAGATTTTATAGTAGGTTTTATAGTAGGTTAAGTACGCACTTAAAATATACTTTCCATTTAATTATGATATATCAATTATTTAACAATCAATTATTATAAATTCTAATGTTTAAATGGCATGTCCTCCTTTTGCGCAATAACAAAGCATTTTGCTTAAAGATAGTTTATGGGTGGTATGGCGCTATATTATAATTCAATTTTATCCCATCATATATTAAACTAGCGACTCACCCTCGTTTCACTTCGGGTTCGTGCCTAGACAAAAACAAACCTATCCCACGGGAACTGAAAATTTTCTCGGGATGATATACAGCCTTCCTCAATAAACCAGCTATCTAAAGCAACAATAATTTTTAAAACCAGATTAATAGTTCCCGAGATTAGCGCGTTCAACCAAACAAACAAACTCTGCCTCTTTATAATATTAGTATAGATAATATCGAAAAAATACGCTAGTACGTAACACTAGTGAGCAATATTACTAAACCTAATGCAATAATAATACGCAAATAGCAATATGTTCCCACACTATCTAAGGATCAAGAATGTATCATCCTAATAGATACAATCCTCTTACCAAAAATTAATCAAGAAACCCTACGGCTTAGGGGGCGGTTTTCTCGCTTTGTACACACGAAATCAATACCTACTGTCCTAATCTCCGACGGCTTCAAATATCATATTTGATCTTTTCGTACTTTCGCTGTATCTATACTCTATATTCAAATAAATAAATATGTTGGGGCATTAACACACAGCACCATCTAGTTCCATGATAAACTGCGAGGCTTGTATTATGGATACCAGATACTTGATACACTATAACTAAAAATAAACTATAACTAAAAGATTTATCTCAAGTTTCATAATTTATTGAAGTGACAAATTATGTTTTAGCACTTTTGGTTGGTATCGGGCATTCGTAAATATTTATTGTTTTATCTTTGCCGATGGACAATAGTTTATTGCCTTCCGAATTAAATTTGATATCCCACACCTGAAAAAAAATTAAAAATATTTTTGAAATGTTCGCTGCTCTCCCGAAATCATCTCAAAATGTTATAAAGCTAAATAGACAAAATACCCTAAAAAATTACGGACAAGTGCGAGTCGCACTCGCCCACCGAGGGATCAGCACTTTGTAGGAAATCTGTTTAACTTTATATTCAACTTTTTTTTTATTTTTTGGAATTTTTCCTTTATTTGTGCTGACCTTGAGACCTTGCTTTTTGCCAAATTTCGTAATTCTAGGTCAACGGAAACTACCATATAAGTTTTCGACCCAAAACCTATAGGGTAGTTCCGGTTGACCTAAAATTGTCAATTTTGGTTAAAAGCAAGTTCTTACAGCACAAGTAAAGGGAAAATTCCGAAAAATAAAAAAAAAGTAAATTTTGGCACTTACAAGTTTTCGCGAAAACCTAAATTTGCCCATATCTTTTTATCGTGTTGACTAAGGACCTTGATTTTAATACACCTAATAAGGAATATACACCTCAGTATCTGGTATAAATTTCAACTTGCTAGGTCCACCCGTTCCTGAGAAAATCGGTGGTGACACACGGACAGACAGACGAACTGATTGACAAAACAGTGATCTTATAGGGGTTCCTCTTTTACCTTTTGAGGTATAGAACTCTAAAAAGTATCTTACTAGAGCTAGAAATTATTAACTTAGTCGTTATTTGTTAATATACCCCTAACACAAGAAAAAAGAGAAGAGATCAGAAAGAAGAATAAGAAAAATAAGGAGGAAAGACAAATAACTCACTGTGTCAACATGTTCTTGAAAACTTTTTAATATTTTGAGGTCCAATAAAGCGATGGCAACAGTTCCGTCACCGACCGCGACCGCCACCCGTGTACCGTCAGGTGAGAAACACGCACTTAATGCCCACGACTTAAAGTTCAAAACACTTCTTTGATTGCCGCCAGCCCTGATTTACAGAAAATAATACTTATTGATTTAGAAAATTAAACGAAAATAAAATTGAAAATAGATTTAATTAAATTGTATTTTTGTGAACATGTTTCGCGATATCTTCGCATTTTTCATATTTTTTTATATGTTCCACCTATAAGGGTGGAAAAGATACTTATATTATATCAGAAGGCATTACAAGATGGTGTACCTACTATTTTTATTTTTTAATAAATAGTAATTTTATTAATTTACCAGGCAAACATGAAAATAAGAGTTTTAATAATTCGGTAGTATGTACAGGCGCCGTGGTTAAAATTTAAAAATTTCTATGGATATTAAAAACATAAATAAAAGTCTATCTATTCCGATGAACATAGAAGTTTGTGAATGATACCAAATGATAAATCTGTCTTCGAAAGTAGTTGAGTGGAAAATATTTCACTAATACCTATTATTTTTTACGGAAGATAGTATTTTGCTCGCGTCTTTGAACACGTTGAAGTTAGTAACGCCATCTATTCCTAATTAAATAATATATTTTATGACGAACTAAAACACTGTTAAATGTGACTTATCCATATCCATACTTGTAAACATCGAAATACCTTCACAAATGGCAAATAAAAATATATATATATATATATATATATATATATATATATATATATATATATATATTATTACATTTCAATTTATTCTGCCCAGTAGATTTGAAGAAAATAGGATAAAACCACAATCAAAGGATTCTAAAACCGCTTTTTGTTGAATATACGGAACCTTAAAATAGGTAAAGTTATAAGAAATAAATAAATGAAACAATAAATACTTACACATCAAATATCTTCACATCCCCATCATTCGATGCTGTTAAGAGTAGTTGGGAGTTAGGTGAGAAGTCCACACTTCTTACTGTTAGAGTGTGAGCTTCTATTGTATGAATTAGCTTGCTTTGAGATTCATTAAACATGTATACAGCGCCATCTACCGAACCGCTAGCTACATACTTACCATCTCTACTCTAAAATTTTAGTTATTAAAATAAAACATAATATTTACTAAACTTTTAACAGGAAAATAAATAATTTAACAGGTACATACATTGTGACATATTGGGTACAAAATCATCACAGATTTCACACAAATAAAATGCAAAGAATTAAATGTTAAGGAACATATAAAATATCTAGAAGTAATTTGAGCATTGAAATTGAAATATGTAAATAGAATATAATAGAAATATATCACCTCCAGGTAAATTTCTAAGAAATTAATTAAAATTCTAAGAAATCTATTGTTAACTGACACGCTGGCATGTCCGCGGTCGTGGAGGGTATAATAATGCAAGTTAATACACAATACCACAAAAAACAATAGACTTCAGAGCTTACCCAAGCAACGCAAAGAGCAAACTTTCCTCTAGTATCCAAAATTTTATTTACAGTATTATTAACTATATCATAGACAATAAGTTTTCCAGTATGACTTCCAGAGACAACCTTAGTGCCATCTGGAGAAAAAGCCACTTTCCAAACATCTGTTGTGCCTGTCTTTATTTCATGTACTTTATTTCCACTTGTGAGTTCCCATATTATTAAAGTTGAGTCTAAAGATGATGATGCTATGGCTAATTTAAAAAAAAAAATACCAAGTAACATTTATTTCACAAAGTAAAAATCTTGTTTATATAAAATCTAGTATTTTTCTAACTTAATTTTGTTATTATTAAATTTTTAATTTATTATAATAATTCAAAGATCTTACAATATCCATCTGGACTAACAGCAATAGAAACAATAGCCATACAATGACCTTCCAATGTGTGTAGAAGTTCTAACCTATTATTATCTAGGTGCCAGACTTTTACCAGATTATCTAGCCCTCCAGTCACTAAGTAATCTTGTTGTGAAACCCTAAAAAATAAAAAATAAACTGTTATTTATCCTATTATAAAAATTAGTCCTACTAAAACACAACTAATTTTATTGTTTTATTCAAATTAATGAATGTTTTGCTTTGTAGATATAAGTTGCCTGGCTTTTATAATTAAAGTACTTAATTTAAGTAGTTTGCAAACTTATTAGATGTAGAAATATAGTCAGCAGGAATTTTGAATAATAGTAGTTATAGAAGTGTAAAGAAATCTTTATATTGGTATAAAATAGTGTGTATTTAATTGATGTCAAATAACAAAAAGAAAGCTTACCTTTCATTATTTTTAGTTTTTATGGTTGCCCAGGCACAACAATAGATTGGATCATTATGAGCATTTTCTTTTTTATTTAGAATTGAATACTAAAAAGTTAAGAAGAGTATAGAGGGAGCACTTAATATTATTATTAACTTTATATTCTTTGATTTCAACACATTTCATACTTACAACAGCCGCAGCCGGCATTGTTGATATTTTTTTTACTATATATATTATAATTTTATATTAAGTATTTTAAATGAAGGTATTTATTAGGAACTTATGTTTAATTTGAATTCTTATTTCTTAATTCTTAGCATATTATAATTTAATATTTGTTAATAATTTGACAGATTGACAATATTGACAATAGCTGACTATGACACTGACATTTTATTCTTACATAAAATTATTGAATTGGACATAAATATTTTAAGACAAGTGAAATATTATAGGTAACACAATTTGCCTAATCAATCTTATTCTAAAGTAAATGTTGTAAATGCTATAAGAAAACGTTTACATTACGTCAACGTTACATTTGACCAATACTTATTCTGAGGAAAGATTGCGTCGTTCAAAGAGTATAGTTATAAACAATAAAACAAATAAAGGATGCAAGAAAGCTTAAGCAGTAGGTAAATTAAAAGCTATAATTTGTAATATTCATAAAAAATATTTTCAATAATCGAGTTGCTCACAGAAATGCATAGTGTAAATAAACAGTATATTAGTTTATATGATGATTATTAACGACAATAGGACTAACACAAATTCTTATTATAACGTTTGGGTTGCCAATAAAAATGTCTGAATAAAAAAATAATTTTATTATAATTTTAGTTTCTTAATTAAACTATGAATACCATATTATATAAATTGTTGCACAATAAAATATATTATGTGAATACCTAATAAACAGTGATGTTGATATGGGGCATTAAATAAAAAACAGATTGTGATACCATCACTTAGTTTTCGCTTATTATTTATTACATAAACATAACTATAAAGGACAATCATAAATATTTATACTTTTATCTTCAGATATTGATATTATTTTATTACTCTCTGCATTGAACTTGACTCCCCACACCTGAAAATATAATATTTTAGATAATAACTGCAGTTTGGAGCAACATATACCTAGATTTTGTATTAAATTATTATTTTATCCTGAAATCATAAATATCAGTAATATTTGTATTAAATCTATTTTGTCACTTTATATTCAACAAATTGATATAAATGTGGTTAATAGAAATTGGCATATGCATGTATAGAATTTGCTTCCTTCGCAAATAAGCATACCTGATCATTGTGTTCCTTAAACACATGTTGGCACTGTTTACTATCTAAATCCCATACTCTCACAGTCCTGTCTGAACTCCCAGATACAAAACGTTTGCCATCTGGTGAAAAAGCTACTGATAGCACCCATGATGCATGGCCAGATAATGTACCAGCCAAGTTTGCATGGACCCTAGGATAAAAATGTTAAAATATAAAAATAAAAAAATTATCTTCTATTGCTATATGATAAAAATATGTAAAGAATCTATGAAAATATTAGACTTTCATATTATACTTTTGGCTTATAAGCTATATAAATAAAAATGAATCACCGAAATGTATGTATGCACATAACTTCTGATCGACTGCACCAAATTGGATAATTCTTTTTTTTGTGTTTGTTATCATCAGGAAGTGTTTATAGAAGAAAATTAAAAGAAAAAAAGAGTAAAATTACTAAAAAAAATTAATTTAACTAAAATAAGATTTCTTTTTAAATCGCATGATCTGAAAAGTGAGAGAGTGAAATAGTTTTAATCCCGGGAATCATCCCTTAAGAGGGGTGAGAATGGGGATGAAAGTTTGTATGGGGAAATAAGCTACGGATGAACCCGAGCGAAGCGATGGTGAGCATTATTAGCAACAATTTGTATGTACAAATTATATATTTCTACATTTATTAACACCTCCAGGTAAATTTCAAAGAAATTACCTAATTAAATTTCTGAGAAATCTAATTTTAACTGTAATGCCGGCGTGTCCACGGTCGTGGAGGGATTAATACAACAAATTAAAAAGTTTTTTTAAAAACATATCCCAATTAAACAATGTACAACTTATAATTATTATTTATCAACTCAATATCTTACACATCATAAAGCTTCATATGTCCATCATCAGAAGCAGTCAAAAGTAATTGTGAATCTGGTGAGAAGCATAAACTTCTTATTGGCATAGCATGACCTTCTAAAGTATGTACTAACTTCCCTTGGGCCACATCAAATATATTTATGATACCATCCAAAGCACCACTGGCAATGTATTTACCATCTGGACTCTGGAAAAAATATCCAAAATTTAAAAAATAATAGGTGAGAAAAGAATAACAGCAGTAACATTTATTATTTATGTAATATTGTGCTGTTTGTTTCCCTAAAATAAATAAATAAACAAATAAATAATGCTTATTTGGAAAACCGAGTGAAGCAGGTTCAAATCTTGTGTCTCACACCTCTGATATTTTTTCCATATCATTACATGATAACAAATTATTTGCAACATTATGACTACTTTTCATAGTCAGTCTTACGGTAAAGGAAAATGTCGTGAGGAAACCACCATGTCTGAGAGAACATAACAAGTTTTCATAAAATATGTAAAATTCACCTATCCGCACTTGGACAGTATAGTTGACTATGGCCTGATCCTCCTAGTATTGAAGAGAGGCTCATACCTAGCAGTGGGATGTTAAAAATACATTTCTTTAGTGGATGTTTATAATATAAAACTTACATAAGCTACACTGAGTGTAAATTTCCCTCTGGTATCCAATGTCTGCTCTTGTTTGCCACTCTCAACACTGAATATTAATATTTTGCCTGCATTGCTACCAGAAATTACATGTTTACCATCAGGGGAAAAATCTAAAGTCCACACATCCGTTGTGCCTGTTTCCATGGTTTTTAATTTTTCACCAGATATTATATCCCATAAAATTAGCGAGGAATCTTGAGAACTGCTTGCTAAGGCTAAAAACAGACTTCTATTTTTAATATGTAAATGTTGGCTAAAACTATTTAGTTTTATATAAGTTAAACAACTATATCACAGGTTAAAGAATTTAAAATAAAAACCAACACATATAAATTGACAAAAATACTTACTTTTTCCATCTGGACTTACAGCAACAGAAATTACTCCAAGCGAATGGCCTTCTAACTGATGCTTTACTTCCAATTTACCATTGTCTAATTGCCATATTTTTATTATATCATCTAACCCTCCAGTGATAATATAGTTTTCTGGAGGTTCTTGTGAATGATTTGAATCTCTAGAATATATTATTGAAAGTGCAAATATAAATGTTCTATTTAAGATCCATATATGTAAAATGTAACATTTTTCTTATTCAGTATAAGTTAAGCACTTAATATAAAAAATATGCAATATATTTCTGATAAAATTACTTTGAAAATATTTTTATTAAGTATTTATTATTAACAGTCGTAAATAAACAAACACAATTAGGTAAAGGTTAGAATTACATACTGTGAGTTTTCAATATTTTCTGCATTTTCACTCGCTTCTTTCGTTTTTTCATGTGTAATTTGGCTCCACCCACAACACCATATGGCATCTTCGTGGGCATTTTCTTTTTTCATTTGTAAATAATACTATAAAAGAAATGCAGTGCGAAAAAATAAAAATAAAAATGTATTAAGTAAGCTATATATGAGAAATTTACATACCAGTGTTGTTATAGACATAATCACTGATAAGATCTTATATATTTTTAATTAATTATATATAAAAAGCAATAATACTTCAAATATATTTTCAATATTATAATTTATTAGCCGCAGCTTACAGATATAGCGGTTTTGACAACGACTTTAACAAATGACAACGTCTAATTGACAATTTCAGAATTTACAACCGACTAAATAGATTATAGAATAAAAACAAATATTACGTTTATTATAATAATTATTATTATTTATAACTAAGCCACTTATTAAAGAATGCGGAAGATTCCTTGAAAGGAGGGTGCTACATGTATGATCTATTTCCATTCAGTCTGAGGTTAAGCAATTTATCTCTTTTGTACCTGGTTTTTGCTTCTATTGTGTTCGCATCTTATCTGTGTAATGTATTGTTCCTGGAAGTTAGACCAGCTGAAGGAAGACTTGAGAAGGAAAGGTCCATCCTGATTCCTGTGGTCATCCTGACTGTCTGACAGACTGACTGATAGATCAACACACAGCCTAAGCCGCTGGTCGTAGAAACATGAAATTTGGAGGATCTATTTCGATGATGTAGGCATCCAATGAGAAAGGATTTTTTTGTAATTCTTCTGTTTAACTTTAATATAAAAAAAAAGAAATAAATATAAATATTTTTTTTGGACATTCGGGATGAATTTCGAATTTATTAAATAATTAAAGGGGTAAAAGGGCGTAATAAAGTTTATATAGGTAAAGAATGATTTATAATCAGAATTACTTGAAACTTAGTATTAATGCTCTTCAACACAATTTAATGGATACTTGTTTTAGAATTTTCCGTAATTCAATCCCATAAGGGGGTAAAACAAGGGATGAAAGTTTTTATATAACTGTAATTAGTATTTATAAAAGTACAAAAGCTGAAATAATATTTACCTGTAGAGGATTTAACAGTTTTAAAATTCCTTTCTGTAAAATGACGTCCACATAGCCTTAGCCAACAAACATAGATCAAGATTGTGATTTTGCCAATTTTGGTCGTCTTTTTGCTTTAGCCCATAATTTATTCAAGTTTTGTCTTTTGGGAACAAATAGTAGCCATTTCCTTTGCATCCTGGCACTGCACTGTTTGTGACTTTAATTAAATTTTAAATAAAATGAAAAAAAATTACCTACGATCTAGACAGCTTTAAAATATACAGAGGATCATAGTGATCATGACATCTGGCGGGAGAAAGAGGTAAAATTCTTACACCCAATATATCTACCATGGATGACAAATAAAAATATCTACCATGATTTTTACTTTATAATTTTTAATTTTTGTAGTCTGTACTCTGTAACAGAATGCCAATATGGCGCCTAAGTAGTAGATACATCATGCGTCATCGGTCAAAATTTCGTTGACTTGACTGACAGGATTGGCTAAAGAAAGGCTATTTTATTAATTTAATTTTTAGATCATAATTAGTAAATGTACAATTGTACAACTTGTGTCCTTTACTTGTTTTATAAATATTAAACTTGTTTCAATATCACAAATTGAAATATGGCAGTTTCAAAATCAACTAACACCTATAATCGTCAAAATTGGGAAGATTCCGTAAGTCTTCATAACATTAAGTAGCATTATGAACTTTTATATATATAAATAATTAATATAATAATTTTCATACGAAGTAATTTATTCATAACTTTGTGGTATTATCTTTTTCAGGACTTCCCTATTTTATGTCAAACATGTCTTGGAGATAACCCATATATAAGAATGGTACGTAATTAAAACGCAAATATAATTTGCATTGGTTATAAACATATGAATAAGAATTATTTGTGGTAATATCTTTCTTTTACATTGCAGACTAAAGAGAAATATGGCAAAGAATGTAAAATTTGTGCCCGTCCATTCACAGTTTTCCGTTGGTGTCCAGGAGCAAGAATGCGTTTCAAGAAAACTGAAATTTGCCAAACATGCTCTAAACTTAAAAATGTATGCCAAACATGTCTTTTAGATCTTGAATATGGTTTACCTATTCAAGTTAGAGATGCTGCGCTTAAAATACAAGATGATTTACCTCGGAATGAGGTCAATAAAGAATATTATATTCAGAATTTAGATAGCCAAATGTCTAAGTTTGATTCCACCCAGCCAAGTAACTCTGCATTGAAGTCTAAGGGTGCTTCTGACCTTTTATTAAGATTAGCAAGGACTGCACCATATTATAAACGGAATAGACCTCATGTGTGTTCATTTTGGGTGAAAGGTGAATGTAGAAGAGGCGAAGAATGTCCATATAGACATGAGAAACCAACTGATCCTGATGATCCATTGGCCGATCAAAACATTAAAGACAGGTACAAATTCTATAACATTTCTTTACAATGTAATAAAATTTCAGTTTTTGTAAAATTGTTTTTGTATTGGTACCCAAGTTTTAAGTGGCAGTGGCAAGCGGGTTCAAATCCCGGTTCTCACAACTCTGATATTTTCATGTGTGAATTGTTTTTTTATAAATAAATATGTCAGAACATTAACACCTACTTCCATGGTAAGCTACGAGAACTGTATAATGGATACCAGATAGTTGATACATTATACATATAACAATTACATACATATTATAAATTTGTATGTATTTAAAGTTATATGTAGTGTTTCTAACATGATTATCAATTGCTTTATGGTGAAGGAAAACATAGTGAGGAAACCTGCATGTCTGAGAGAACCTAGTAAGTTTTTGAATGATATGTGAAGTCCATCAACCTACACTATGCCAGTATAGTAGATTATAGCCTGATTCATAATAGAAGGGATATTGAAGGGAGGTGCATGCCCAGCACTGGAACATATAAAAGCATTGAATACAATACAAAAAACAAACAACAATAATTTTAATATAAAATGTATATATTATGATTTTAAAAATATATGATATTACAGATACTATGGAGTAAATGATCCTGTAGCTGAAAAGCTGATGCGTCGTGCTGCTGCTATGCCAGCTTTACCTCCACCAGAAGATAGAACTGTCACTACCCTATACATTGGCAACTTACCAGAAAATATAACCGAGGAAGAGTTGAGAGGCCATTTCTATCAGTATGGAGAGATACGGTGAGTAAAATATGCTTAATGTTATAATATAACATTTATGTGTAAAGTTAAAAAATAATGTTATCTTTACTCATAAATGTGATTTTAAACAAAAAAGATTATTTAAGAAGTACTTACTCATCTCCTTCATGTTATTTTTTCATAAACAAGAAAATTGAATTGTAATCCAAATACTATCTTCAAAATTTTTATTTCAGAGACTTTTTTTCCATATGTTCGAACTATGAAGTCTTAGAATATTACAAAAGTGTATAAATTAATGTACTTTACAAGTCAGTACAAGTAGATATTTATACTATATTTTCACTTTTATATTCAGCTCCCTCACACTAGTGCCGAGAGCACAATGTGCATTTGTACAATACACCACAAGGAGTGCTGCAGAACATGCGGCAGAGAAGACTTTCAATAGGCTAGTAATTGCTGGGAAGAGACTCACTATTAAATGGGGCAAATCACAAGGTAAAGTAATTGTTCATAGTTTAATTCTTTTATAATGTGACATAACACAATGTGTTTATATTTATATTAATAATAATGTAATAAAATAAAAATATAACCTAGCTGAGTAGCTCATTATGCCAGTGGCCATGAAGCCATTAAAATGAAATTATATATTAGATGTTGACAACCAAAGGTCTTAAGACCTATTGCATTTAAAGGAATTCCCGATGGGAACTTCTCCTTGAATGACCAAATTACCTTCCACACAATCTGTTTATAGTTATTTGACTGATTGCATGATTACGCCCAAAAAAAAAATTATGTCAACTCTCAATGGCTTTCAATGAATATTTCTTGTAAATTTCCCATATAAATAAAATAACTGATGTAAGGACTCATACAAATATATAATATTTGCTCTTTATTTTTTTACTAAGGTTAAATAGTTTTTTTACTATTGCACTAAAAACAATAATAAATATTGATACAATTTATTACAATAGGACGTCAAGGATTGAGTGACAAGAATGAGTCAGCTCCAGCGTTAGAGCCAGTGCCGGGACTGCCAGGGACTCTGCCACCACCGCCTGCATTCTTACATCCATTCCCACCGCAGGTGCCTATTATATTTTGTAGCTTTTTATATATTTTTATTATATTCAGGATGTTATTGCAACAGCTTTCTTTTTTTTTTTGAGAATTTTTTTTTGTTTGCGAGCAGTATTCACTTTCAGCAGATATTATGTTCTACATTTTTTTTTACTTTTTATTTTTTTTTTTTTTTTTTTTTTTAACAGCATTTTTTATGGAAACTCAAAGCTTATAATATTCCATAGTAACATTATAAATGCGAAAGTAACTCTTTCTGTCCGTCTGTTACAGTAAACGTTTGAGAAATAAGGGTTTTAATGTTGTAGAAATAGGGGTTGAAAGTTTGTATTAGGACAAATTATTTCTCAAGCAAATGACAAAAAAATTTTTTTCATTAATTAATTTAAAAATTGTCTGGTTAGAATTTCGATAGGCAAATATTTGAGGCGTATTTATCTACTATTATTGAAACTTTATAAAAAATATGTTTCATCCGGTTAATAGATCGGTGAAGGTTATGGTTTTTCCGGCTCTCCAGCTAAAATCACCATACTTTACATAAAACTGGCTTAATATGATGTATTTGTCAGTATGATATATATGCATTAGATTCTGACACAATATTCCCCACACATCATTACGTCGCCTTAGCGCTTATTTATTCAAACTAGACATATGTTTTATTTTACAGTACAGAGTTTTTTTCTTCTATCTTAAAAGCAAAGCTTTTGGCTTTGTTAGAGTAAACTGTGTATGTTATAAAAATGGAATTTACATTTAAATGTCAATAATTTCGTTTTTAGTCATTTGAATGCATAAATAGGCATCGAGTAAAAGAGAAGTAAAAGAATTAGGGTTCGGCTCAAAAAAAAAAAATCGCTTCCCGAGCGTAGCGGGGGTGAGTCGCTAGTTATTTATATTTATTATTACAATGTTCGTATGTTCCGCCCAGATGCCGCCGCCCAGCCGGCCGAACGACTTCTTCAACCTGCAGTACGCGGGCTGGGCGTGGGGCGCGCCGCCCGCGCCGCCGCCGCTGCACTACCCCTCGCAGGACCCGGCGCGCCTCGGCCACGCGCACGCCAACACGCCGCAGACGTAGGCGGTCGGGGTTCATGCTCGGTTTGCTGTTCTGATTCACTTCGCTCTTCATTTTTGTATTTTAGATACACAATCAGCGACAAAAAGTGTCCTCACCTAATGAGCGCTCTTTTGAACATTTGTATTTGTATTAATATTTCAACTATTCATGATTTCAATTACTTAAACACAATTTGTGACAGTTTTAAGAGAACTTTTGCGTGGGATTGTGTATCTAGTCCTTTTTTATCGATGTTTTTAACGTTATTATCACCTCGCGACTTTTTATATTGAGAAATACAAAAATTATGTAAGTAAAAAAATTCAGTCCGTATAAGTAAGGTTTTAACTTTATGTATTGTATGCGAAGTTCCAGTCAAGTTATGGGAAATAAAAAAAAATGCAGTGCCACACTATTTGTGTAAATAAAGGGTGAAAATTTTTGAGTCCATATACGCGTGTAGAGTAATTCTGGATAGGTGTTTAATTAAGAGATACATATATGTTTTAAATTGTTGCTCAGTCACACAGATATTGGAATATTGACGCCCAAAAATAATAGCATTCTAATACGCCTTTATTAAATTAAAATTTTAAACTTTGTATTTGTGTATGTTATCTCATGATGACAGCAGAAAACAGATAATGGAACACTAAAAACTGATAGTAAAAACATCTGAGTTTAAGCGTGTATGTTTTATTTTAACGAGTCCTTACATTTAGTAATGGGGGAAAGTAAAGCTCCTTGATTTAGTGCTCAGTGTTTTTTAAACTATAGTTAATTTTTTAATATGGCAATACAAATGGTAAAGTGAAGTGAAATTGTTGAAATAGCAACTTAAACACCTTTAAATAATACCTATAAGCTTTCAAAATTTCCTGGAAGCTTTGAATTAACACCCCTTTTGAGGCACCAAATCTTAGCACTAATAAATAAGTACCACTTTGTTGATATCAAACTCATTCCCGGTAATACACGATAGTCCCGGTATTACCGTGCAGATAAAAATTGCTAGTTAAAATGGCGGTTTATTGAGCCTGTACTTTTCTTATACATACTAAGGAGTAAGTATAACAATTTCTTTACTATTGACGTTATAAAATTTGATATTTGCTTAGAATTAATAGATTAATTTTTATTCAGTAAATGATTTTATTAAAAAAAAATATCTTGAATATAGACATCACACTAAAGAAAGATTTTAGGGATAACTTCACACTGTACCCAATGACGACTAACTTCATACTGTAGTCTAAATCTGTCGCATCGTAAAAAAATCACTTATCATTTTTTCCCTAACGCGCTAAAGAAATACATATAACTTTAAAAATATTTATGATTGTTTTTGAATATAAAAATGGTGAAGAAGTGATACTATTAATCGATCAAAAATGTACTAGATACATAATCCCATGCAAAAGTTCTCTTAAAACTATCACCAATTATGTTTAGGTAATTATTCTAGTGGAAATAAACATAGAACAATGTAAATTGAACCTTAAATGCAATGCTTAAAGTTTATTTCACAAAAAAAATTATAAGCGCGCTCAAACGTTCATATGAGCGTTCATTCGATGAGGACATTTTTTTGTCGGTGATTGTGTATCTAGTACTTCTTTAATCGATTTTTTATTATAATAATAAACCCATTTTTTATCTGCACAAGTTATACATTAACTGGGCGTGAGTTAATTTTTAATTGTAATATAAGATATAAGTTTAAAGTTCAATTTTCTATGGATAAATAAATATGGTTAAATGAGAACTTGTATTGTACATGACGTAAATAAATGTTGGTTTTACACCTTAGTAAAAATAAGTTTGTTTTTATTTAGTTATGTGACATGAACTGTTGTCTTGGACTATAATATTAGAATTCTGATCATGTTGAGTCATAATATAATATTTAAGTTACTCAAATACTGAATATATGTACATTGTAACTGTCAGGGCAATATCAACTCGATTATAGTACAAAAATGGATTAATTACTTCATTCAGTTCAGATATAAAAAGGAAAATATTAATATATGTATATTAAAATATGTTAAATATATGTACATAAACATTCAGCTTGGACATTTTAACATTTTATATGATTTTGTACTGGCAGCCTTACAAACTTTATATAATAACTATATCGGGTTGTAACTTAGTTTTAACAGAACTCAATATGCTCAATTCACCATAAAATACATTTAAAATAGCTTCATAAAAAAAAATTGAAAATTGAAATAAAAAAACATGATCGAACATTTTGTTTCATTTCATTCCCTACAGGTTAAATAAAACATCATTTTCGGAAACTATATGTAATATTAATTATAAGTTTATAACATGACTTAATCGTTAAAAAACAGTTAAACATTTAGTTATATACTACGCCTTCGCTTACCATTATCTGGGTAAGGACGGTGTCAATAATTTACATTATACTAGGCCCAGATAGATAAATACTAAATAGGTGCCCTAATAAAGGACACGAGTGGTGATATATTAATGATAGAAGCTGTTAATTTGCTTTTCAAATTATTGGCGATAAGATTTCCCTGGCGGTTGTTTTCGGAACTAATGAAAACAGATTTTTAGTACCTACTACTTTACAGTATTAGCTCTATAGAGACAAAGCTTAACAACCGCGCAACGATAGGCATGCTATTTCATGTGGGCGGTGTGGTTATACAGGGCCGAATTAACCATGCCGGGGGCCCCTAGGCAATGCAATTCTCGGGGCCCTTTCACCCTTTTCTAACTTATTAAAATACATTATTCGTAATTAAGCAGTGAGCTAGATTTCATAGAAATCTGTTGCATTTGTCCTAATGGTAGAAATTTCACTTATTTTTTATTTTATTTTAAATTAAATTTTCATTCGATGGTACATTTTCAATTTTTTTTTCGCCGTGCGTGGGGCCCCTAGCTGATGCGGGGCCCATAGGTAGTTGCCTAAACTGCCTTATGGATAATCCGGCCCTGTGTTTATAGATAAAAGATGAGTATCAATTCAATTCCCTTGTTAATGGCTTCAAAGCGCGCCAGTTGAGCCCAAATTATTTAGCCAATGTTATGTAGAAAACGATAAGTTTACGCGCTGCCCGTTGACAAAACCGGTATTTTCCGAATCGAACTGTTGACAAACTCAGGCCGAACTGTAGTAGTATACCTATTGTTTGAAGATTGTGTCTGTATATACATATTTATTCATGTGCTTATAAGTAATAGTACAAATCACTACGTCATATTTCGATATTTTATTGGTCGTAAATAGTTCTGCGAAATGCCGTAGAGAATCTGCTAATCGCCCATAGTACAGATAATAATTCGCCATTTAATACAACGATTTCTTCAAATTACGTATATCGCAGGAAATGACGTAATACAAAGGTGGACAAGTTAGATTTTTTGTTTGATAATATAATTTAATAAGAATAAAGCCATGTTTAAAGCTAAATTAGACAAAGATGCACATCGTTTATAAATTACAATCGATTTTATAAGATATAATCGATTATAATAATAAAATTAATCATTCGTTTATCATATTCGTCCACCTCATATCTTCTATACTATTAGTCCAGTGACTAGTTTGGTGTATTTTCCTTAAGCTATTTTATATATTATAATATAAACGCTAAATCGAAGTATTGTGCATCTAAAACTGTAACACGGCAAGATGGAGTCACACAGGGAACACGAAAATTAAGTATACGGCCCGATCTATTACAATTTTTATTAAATCACACTCAACTACTTGTGACGGGCCCTTAGTAAAGATAAAAAATGTGCCAAACGCAAAGTGCCTTTAAAATATTTAATTTTAAAATTTAACTTATACCATAATATATATTCAAATTATTTGTGTTGTATATTTTTTACTCAGGGACCGTCGTAAAATCGATTCAATTTAATTAAAATTTAATTTAGAAGGGCATCTCTAAATATTTACAATGGCCTGTGCATTGGAATGTAACTTCTATATTATAGTCAAATCTTGCACTTTGTTATACATTGTTTATTGCGTACAAATAGTATATAGGTCAAATATATTGTATTAAAATAAAATAGCGTGTCGATTACTATGAAGCAAAATAAGATAAAATTAAAATTACTTACTTGAGGAATAACTTTCACAGATAAAAAACTACACATTTTTATAATTTAAAAAACTTAAACCAGCATAAGAATAAAATAAAGAGTATTTATACGAAAATTCAACGCATTTTGCTTCTGATTCAAATATATATCACCTTTTTAATGTCCATCAAAGATAATACATTTTGTTTATGTTCATTTATTTTATGCGCATCTTTGCTATTCTATATGCGGACTCCATTATAATATATAGACCTAGAGAATGGACTGACCAATAAATACTCTTATGGAATTGACCTCTAGAAAGGGAGAAAGCGAACGTGCGGCCAATAACTGTCTTTTTTTATATAAAAATAAAATGATAGATTTTTTTTGGAAAATCTTATTGAAATAGTCATTTCATCAGATTTTTTTGCCTGCCAGTCTGTCTGTGACCGCATCACGAGAAAACCACTGGACAGATTTTAATGAAATTTGGTATGATGATAGCTATTTATCTGAGACAACATATACTTTTTACTGCGGAAAAATATCTCATCTCTGAGAAATCTATACTAATCGTTAAAACGTAACGTTAAAAACAATATTGCAAATAGCGTACACTCAATAACTATATAAGAATACAACTGAAACTTCTCTAATTATATGGGCCGCACAATCGCTTCGTCTCTCTTACACTTTTCTGGCCGCATTCACTTTACAGCTGGATAGGGAACGCTCTGTCCATTCTTTATGTCTATGTATAGTCATAGACAGGTTTCTATTTATAGGTGCGATTAATATAATTCCAAATATCAATGTATACTTTAAAGCGTATATAAGCTCATGTTTTGAAACTAGCAGAACTGAAAAGGTTTTTCTATTGCAAATTAAAGTTAATATATTTTTGTTTTAGCGTTTTAATATAATTTTTCAATATGGGACCCAGATATTTTAGTAGCGAGGTATATAATAAATTAAATACACTGTAGCAAATCGATTATTCAAAATTAAAATCGATTTTAATAAGACAATAATACGTTGATGTTTTTATTTATTTACAATTATTACATATTTTACTTCACATTCAGTTACACACAAAAGACACATTTAATAATATTTTTCTTATTGATAAATAACTTTGAATAATCGTAGCTTTGTATGTTAGTGTTGCACAGCCATACGACGTTTTGGCCGTCAAATGTCAATTATAAAATGCAGGTTATATTTAAATCTTAATGTAAATTATAATTTAAACTTCAATCAGTTTCAAGTTATTTAGATTGCCAGCGCAAAAAAAGCCTTAACTAAATATTTGATTTTAAATCATTCCAAAATTCTAAAATATAATTACAAACATGTGAAACGAATACATAAATATTAATTAATTGTATTATTTTCATCTAATACAATGAAATTTAAAGATGCTAATAGAGTATATGGTTTTTTATATAATAACTCACATCGTTATATAACTGTAAAAAAAATATCCACCTCCAAAAAACTAAAATTTAGTATACATTTTTTGTAAATATCATACCGATACGGATACTTTAAATGCCCGCCATTTCACGCGCTTGCCGTGATTTTGTCATTAAATTGACAACACTGGCTCTATTATAATAGACTATGACGTCACATTCGGTCTGACTAATGGCGTTGCGTTTCAACTACTTTGAATTTCCCACCTACATTTGCACTTTTTAATAATTATTTTCTTAATCAAAAATTAATTACATTAAAAATATTAATGTAGGCTTACATTAAAACCAACAGAGATTATAAAAAAAATATATTTCACCTTTATTTAAATCATACGCATATACCCTATTGAAAATAATAAATAAATATTAATTTTCAATAAGACCATTTTTGCGCTGACAATAACAGTTATCATAGTTGTTACTAAAGAAAAAATCAACTGGCATATTTTAATTAGAACAAAGTCTTTAAATAAATTGTAAAGAAAAGTAAAGACGAATTTATTGCTTTATTCCATTGAAGTATATATTCACGGTCCTTAAACAAAGACCCATACACTGTTTATATACATTGTGTATTCAGCCCTTTTTATCGTCCCACTGCTGGGCACGAGCCTTCCTTCAATACGAGAGGGATCAGGGCATAGTCCACCACGCTGGCCAAGTGCGAGTTGGCGGACTAAACATGTCTTTTCAAAACTTACTAGGTTTCAGTCATGCAGGTTTCCACACGTTTTCCTTCACCGTCAGAAAAGTGATAATCATATTGGAAATACGTGTCGAATACTATTAAATTCTAAATTTGTTATTTTATAACATAAATCCTGGAACATATTTTTAACTTTTTTTTACATACATTTATGTACGGACGTATTTATTTGGGGACCGTCGAAACATGCTTCAATATTGGCTTAAATATTCCACTAATGAAAAGATATACATTGCATAAGCGTCATAACTGTTACTTGTTATCAAGCAATTTGATAAACTTTGAAAATCAAATAATTTAATAATATATTAAGATGAAAGGCGTGTCCATTAGTAATCAATGACAATATTTGTATCTATTTCATTATGTTATTAGCGTTTTATGTGTTATTACGCTGTCAGCTAACGTGGACCTGTAATATAAAAAAGTGTATATTAATATATAAATACGAATTTTAAAAAATAATAATAGAACTGTGTTGCATATTATGCACCATGGGATCTTTTTAGAAAAAAAAATTAAAATAAATGTCAATAGATGGCGTTATACTTATACTAAAAAGTAAAAACCTTTATATTCTGATTCAAAAAATCTCTACGGATTAAGAAATATTATTTTTACATTAGCTTATTTTAATAATAGTTTAACCTGATAACAAACTGTTGTCACGTCTCTGTCACTAAAATTTGTTTTGTCTTGGATATTTTTCAAATTTTTTTATAGAGCAAAACAGTCCAGCAGCATTTAGAACAACACTACCTATAGTCTATCTTGTTTCTGATATTTGGATTGTAAAGTTATTCTTCACGTAATAAATAGTCAAAGCAGTGTTCGGAGTATTATTTTATCATGAATTAAGTGGAGGACTCTGGCGAGGCGCCAACATGTACTATAAATAATAATAATAAGCAGCAATGGATTTACACTAGGGGCACTCGGGGCTAGTGCCCCGGGCGGCAAAAATTTTTTTCGCTTTAACGAAAATGCTTTATTTATTTTCCAAAAAATAAAAAAGAATAATTAAAAAAAATACTAGTATATTTGTCGAAAAATTGAAATCATTTATAAATTATTATTGTTTGTATTTAAAAAAAACGAATAATAATTTTTTTTTAACTTTATCGCAATTTTAGCCATTTCATGAAAAGTTTCGATAATTGGCCGGCATTTTTTACAGTGCCCAGTAGCGGTGTTAAAGTTAAATCCGGCTCTGATAATAAGTAACAAATAATAATACCTTTATTGACGCAAATATAAAAGGGTTACAAGACATATTTTTAAACTATAGAACTAGTACAATCTTTGTAAGTATACTAACGTCTGAACTAGGCCGAGCTTGTATCTCAGACACTAGCCTCTTCCTATTACACAATTTATTAATTTATTGGTAATAAGTTAAATGTAACATAATACTAAAAATATATATTATGTTATACAATGTAAACAATTTCTATATACATCAGCGTAGTTGTTTAATTTACTAAAAGCATCTACCCTCATTATATCATACAAATATCAACAATCCCAATCATCATACATACAAATATGAACAAGCGGACACTCACCTAATACCTATTGGCGTTGGCGATCTGCGCGTTGACGGCGGCGGCGGCGGCGCTGGAGGCGGCGGTCTGCACGTGCTGGTTGCGCAGGATCTCCGTCGTGAACTCCGCCTGCGCCTTCGCCATGGACGCGCCCGTCGACCGGTAGATGCGGTGCACCTGCCGGCCCCGTCACATTGTTATGTAGCTATACTTATACTAATATTATAAAGAGGAAAAGTTTGTGAGATTGTGAGTTTGTGACGTTGTAGGGGGTAATCTTTGGATCTACTGAACCGATTTAGATGAAATTTGGTATGAAGATAGTTTGAGACCCTAGGAATAACATAGGATACTTTTTATATAGGAAATCATCCCTTAAGTTACACCAAAGAAGTATAACTTCTTACGTGCGTATATACTCGTAAGTACACACACACTTTTTTTAAACTATAATTATTAGCTTGAGCTGTGACTCTTATAACTAAACATCGAATCTTGACATCGTCGTTTTAAAACGAAATAATACTATAATTTTGTATATCAGAGCTGATTTGATTATGGAGCTGAATAGTGAAAGTTTTCAGTGGCTTCTGATAAACCCTTCGAGTTTGGCCTCATATTTGCATGGTTTTTGTAGTTTTGTCGTGTCCCACCAATTGTAATTTGTTCAAAGCGTGTATTTTATTTCAAAACTATAATTCATCGTCGGTCACGTGAACTAAATGTTGCGAAATGCATTTACATACACATACCACCCACAGTCCCGCACGCATTTTTTTTTTTGGGACATTAACACACAGCACCATCTAGTTCCATGGTAAACTACGAGGCTTGTGTTATGGATACCAGATATTTGATACACTACACATATATAACTTTAAATCATACATATTATAAATATAAACACTCATAACTGGAGTACAAACATTCATGCTCATCACACAAATGAATGCCCCTAGCGGGACTCGAACTCGCGATCGTTGGCACAGCAAGCAGGGTCACTACAAACTGAGCCAAACGTGTCGTCAGATATGCATATACATAAAAAAACTAAACTTTGCTTAACTCGTGTCACATTGTTTTAGATTAATGTGCATATATTGAGAAACACAGACAGACATCTTATTTTATACATCATTTTTGTTTATTTGTTTGTCCCAAACATACAACCAACGTGAGTTCGTACATAATAATAGACTGTAGACCAGATAATGATATAGACTACATTTTATCTGAGTACACCAAAACCTATGGGGATATGAACCCATAACCCACCTTAGCGATAAGCATGACATCAGCCACGATGGCCGTGACGAAGCCTATCGTGACGATCAGTGTGACAACACCGGCGCCCACGCTTGTTTTGAACGCGCCGATACTTGTTATCAGACCACTGGAAATATAAACATAATGTCTATTTAGTCTATACATATATTAAAATGTATGTATGTCTTTTAAAATTTTCTATAGTATTTAAAAAAGCAGTGGTAGCCCATTGGTAACACGCTCGCTTAAAGAGCTAAGTGAATATTTATTTAGAACATGTTTATGCATTCAGCCCTATTTAACGTCCCACTGTTGGCCTGCGAGCCTCCCTTGAATACGAGAGTTATCAGGCCAGTCCACCACGTTGGCCAAGTGCGAGTTGGCAGACTTCACATGTCTTTCGAAAATTTACGAATTTCTCATATATGCAGGTTTCTTCACGATGTTTTCCTTCATCATAAGACAAGTGGTAATCATGCTGGAAATGATTCGCATATGAAAACACCAGAGATGCAAGACCATATAAATCTGCTTTTTAAATAAGAAGCCGGTTTCCTAAACGAGTGCTTGGGAAACAGCTCGCGTTACCACTGAGCTACAACTGCCTTACTTGCAAAATTAATTTATTATTCATCTTACTGTTTTGAAACTATGGAGTTATTGTATTGTACGCATGCCAATGAAGATTTCTGACATATGATGGGTGGGTAGGATAGTCGAGATTGGTTAGTGATACAGAGTTTGGTTTAACTGAGAGAAACTATTGGTACTAATATGTAGGAAGTATAGATTTCTCAGAAATGAGACTTTTTACCATACCAAATTTCATCAAAGTCTATCCAGTAGTTTTCTTGTGATGCGTTCCCAGACAGACATACGAAAATTCTAAAAACTATAGATTCTGTCTTTGTATCGATAATAATGTCTATTTCATCAAGATTTGCAGAAAAATATTTAATGTACAGATTCGACTCAGTTTTTTATTGTATGTATAGATTAAAAAAATAACTTACCAAGAACCTCCACCGCTGAATCCAATAGACTGTACCAAAGTTATTATAATTTGGAACATAAATATGAAGAAGAACACCATAAAGTTGAATGAGGAATCACTTCTGAACGCTTTATATATTGGTCTATACCAGCAGATAAAGCTGAATGGTGTTAATAGCACGAAATATAGAATTGCTAGACCAAAAACAGTGAAGTTTTCGCCGGCAAATAATAACGCGAGACCACCAATAATATTCAATGCTAATACCAGTGAATGGACTGAAAAGGAAAAAATAACACTCTTTTATTATTATATTTACTAACATTATTCATTTTATATTTTACTTTAATTTCTTATCTAATTATTTAATAAAGTACTTAATTGGTAATAAATATGTTTTTATAAAGTTTAATTACTAATTCTACATTGTATTGCCCTAATCATTTATATTGTTAATATAATATTTATTGATTCATAAAATTCTTTATACTCAGCAAGGCTTATATTTAATAAAAACATTTTTTTTTTGATTTCTACATAAATAATACACAAAAAAAACATAAAAAAAACAAAATAATAATAAAAAGCTAAGTAACTCACACATCCATAGGTGATATAAATGTCGGACAATCCTTTGAAATTCTAAAGGTATGTCCACATTAATGTCCTGGTAGAAACATGGTTGTATGGGACAGAATGCAGGCAAGGGTGGCCAATTGTTGCGTCTACCAGCGGAGCCAGCTCTTAGTTCTGCTTCACGTCGCGCTAATTCTTCAGCTTTTCTTTCCAATTCCTCTTGTCTTTTCTATAGGTTAATTTTATAATATCTCTTATTAAACATTTTTCTTTCGATACAAAAATATAAAATGAGGATTTTTCTGTCAAAACAAAACCAATCAGCCTTGAAACAACATTTGAAGATGTTACTAATTGCCATTGAAAAACGATCACAAAGAAAAATCAATTAGATCCTTACAAGTTTAAGTTACAATCAAAATTTAATTTAGTTTTTAATCCAAAAATATCATTATCATATAAAGCTCTTTGTGTGAATAAAATATGATGATAAAGTAAATTTCCAGAAATATTTATGACACAAGGTATGAAAAAATTAGTTATTATCAAACCATAATCTCATAAAGTACACATTTTTACTGCAATATTTTAATTTGGGTTTGTATATGTCAAGATTGTGTCACCCAGTGATTTTTTTATCAATTTATACAACAATTGCCTCACAATAATTATTCTTAAAGTATATAAAAATCAAATATTGACAGTTTTAGCTGCTTTATTGTTTAGTATTAACGGTAATAAATATTGTAATTGATTAAAAGAGTAAAATTACAAAATTCAAAAATATAATTGAATTAAAGTACTTTTTGTTTTTATTTTAACAGTACTGATAAAGACTTGTAAACAGCTTGTATAGATAAGAATAAAAGTTAATGATAACAGAAAAGTGGACAATGTAACTGATTACCATCCCTATCAATAGTATTAAATAAAAAGTATATGTTTATAAGAGACAATACTTTATACATCATGTGGTTTGTTTGAAATGCTTTGTGTTCGTAAAAGTTATTGTATCTACATAGCATTACATAATACACAAATAACTATAATGTTTAGTATAGGTACTATGAGAATGTATGATTACATATCCATACTAGCAACTAATAATCCAAGTGACATTACCTTTAACTCCTTCAGTGCAAGTTGGAAAAATCAAAAGTGTATTAATAGCATGCAGTACTATAGTGATTACTTAAATAAATATTTAAAGTATACTTTTATATACATAAAATTAACACAATGGGATCTTTAAATAATTATGTTAAGTTTATTTAAATTTTAACCAGAACAAATATGCAATAATACAGTACATATGTTATTAGTATTAAATAAGTGCATATTATAACCAAATAGTGAATTTTATATAGCTATAAAACTGTGTGATATTTACAAATGGAAAAACATACTTGAAAATCAGCTGTAGTAAAGTTCTGTGGTGGTCCTTGGCTTTGTTGTGGATTGGGTTGTGTGTATTGTCCACCCGCTAGAGGAGGTGATACTGCCTGCATAATAGCAGGCTGTGTTGGCTGTTGAGCAGGCTAGAATAATAGATAACTAAATAGTAATACAAATATCTTTCATAATTAAATCAATAAACAGTTAAGTAAAAGAACTTAAATAGATAAGCAGATAATTCAACAAAATCTAAAAAGACAGACAAATACATTTTTATAAATTGAAGAAATTAAATGTATCACAGAATTTCAATTCATGAAAATTAGTTTGTGGAACTAGTTTTTAACAATATTGAATATGTACTATCATTAATTTGTTTAACCGCATAATCAACCCATTAATGCTTTAAAAATTACTGCTAAACAAAGTTTACCGTAGCCTGATTTGCATTTTGCTGTCCGTCAAAGGGATTATAATCATCGAGACCACGTGTCGCATTATTTGTACTTCTAGCAACTTGTTGTACTGCAGGATCCTATAATATAAAAAACAAATTTGGAGATTACATACCAGTAATACATTGATAAAACTTTCATTTCTTGAGCCTACTCACCGCAAAGGGATTGTCTATGGCTGGATCACTAAAGGGATTATCCTCAAATCTCGACATTTCTTCTATTTAATTACGCCACTTTATATTATAATACTGATTACGTAGGACAAAAGAAATACTCTTCTATTATATTTTAACTTATATGATGATAAATATAATCAATCTACACAATTGACAGATTGACGATGGTGACGAAGTGACATTTCAATGATCAGTATTGCTATATATAGTCAAGTTTTTTAAAGTAAATGTCGGATATAAAATAACTCTGTATTTTATGATGGCCTTTTAAAGGACAGTTTAAATTATTTATTTATTTTTAGTTCAACAATGATATGTGACACGAATTACGTTTGCAGCAGTCAGGAGGTCGAAAAAAAACCGAATAATTAATAATTATTTATTAATTTTATATTAATACAATAATTATATATCTTAAAACTAACGACTTCTTTACTCGAAGTATGAATAAAGAGTGATTGGAAAAGTATTACAATTAATAAAATTACTAAATTAAAACAATGCGGCATTACAAAACTAATTCGAGGAACTCTGCGGTGGTCGCCTGGGAAACGTACATTTATTTGATATGTCAGCATATTCGTGGGATTAGGGTTCCGTAACTCCTCCACCCCTAGAGAGGCAACTATTTGAGAATATTGAGTGAAAAAGTTGCCGGGATACTTGTGTCCTTAAGATTCTCTGGGTTATCTCCATTCTCTAAAATTTCTTCCTTTTTTGCAGTAGTTTTCTTATACTTTCTATAGTGTAATAAAATGATAAGTGCACCTGCACTGAATAATATTGCGTATACTGGTATGGTTGTATGATATACTGTAATATCCTTTTCGCGTTCAATTTGTAGCGGTGATTGTATCATAATTTTGTCCTTTAGTCTATGGAGTCCTTGGATATTTATAGATGATATATTAATAGTTGTATCTAGGTGCGCAATTTCATCGGGTATCTTCATCAATTTTAAGGGCTGTCCTCTTACTTCGTTGTTGTCATTAATTAACGTAAATTCTTCGGATATGATTTTGCATCCCAGGGGAATAGTTATTAGGTAGCTGCCTTTTAATGAAGTGAATTCCTGTTTACCGCATGATATTTGTATCTTTTGATGCTGGGGGAACGATATAAGGTAGTGCATATCGTCTAGTTTCTCCATTGATTCTCGTAGAAGATTGACTGTAGTTAAGTGACAAGATTCCTTCAAAATCTGTTTAACAATTAGCTCGTGGATACAATCTGAATTTGTACGAATCTGATGATTGAGTTCCATTTCACAGAGATACCAGCTGCTATGTCTCGGGCATTCGGCCTCTATGTACACGAATGAATTCTCGTTAGTTGCAATGAAAGGAGAGGATGGGATGAGAGCCTGCGATTTTTATTAGGTACTACTGCTAATCTATATAATAAAAAATTATCCTTAGAAATAATAGGAAATCGGAATATAAAAACTATTTGCTTATTAGCATAATAAGAAGCTGGTTGGATTATATTATAATATTCTCTTAATTCTAAATTTAAAATACACTCTTTTCCATAGATATTCTTAAGCTTATCTATCATTGAACTTAATACATCTATACTAATCATGGAATGGTGCATGCTTGATGCATGAATAAAAGCTAAACTATTTTCTATTCTTAGTAATTCGTTCATTAAATCGTCTATGTTTTCACTTAGTATTACTAAAAGTTGGGCAAATTTGGCATATTTAATTAAAGTTGTATTATCTATATTGTTAGAAAGTATTAACATTAAGGTGCTATTAATTTTACTTTGATTTTCTACTAGTTGAGTCAAAACGCTATTATATTTAGTGATCCATTCTTTGCTTATGCTTAACTGATTATTAAGTTCATTTGTAATTTTTTCCTGATTACTTTCTAATAATTTTATAGCTTCATTATACCTTAAAGCATCCGTATAATCTAAGTTTCCTGTAATACTTTTTATAACTGTTCCGAGTCCATCAATAATCCCTCTTTTAGACCTGCTGGGTTGTAAGGATTTAATTTGATATAATATGTCATCTAATTTGTTGAGCAAGTAATTTATTTGAATTTCATATACCGAATAAGTGTCATTAGGTAATTGATTTTTGTAATTGTGCAAATGGTTTTGTAGACTGTGTGTTTTATCTTCTATATCGTCGAGTTTTATGTATTGTAAGAATGTGTGGTAATGTGTCGTTGTTTTCATCGGTCCAAGTTTGTAGGGAAGTATTCCAGGTCCATCATCAAGACTCTCGAATTTAATTTCCTGAAGATGTACCAGGGGTAGTATCATGAGCACCAGGATTCTGTAACAAATTCGCTGCTTTAGGGATTCGCTTTAGTCGCGACTTTGCTATAGGGCCACGTTTCTTTTTAGTGTAAATATGTATAGGTAAATCGGCAAGAACAGTGTCCTGTGTATATCTTGGGGCTGTTTTTTGTCTTTCAGCTAATGGGTTCCTTACAAAGATCTGCTGATCGGGCGCATACTCTATCTCAGGTTCGCGTGTCTGATTCCTATTCTGGATAAGGGTCGTTCGGTTACTAAGGGACGATTGGTTAACAATGTCATATACTTTTTTCATCTGTTCTTTATGTGTCTGTAAGTATTGCTGTAACGTTTGTTGAGTAAGGTCAATGTCAAGGCAGTCTCTAGGGTCAAAGTGTCCGTTTAACAAATCAAAGGGTCTACATCTCGTGAAACTGTGTATAGAACTATTGTAAGCTATTAAAGCGTAAGGCATAAGGTTCACAATGGGTTCGTGTTTATGTTGTAATTTTAAAAGTCGCAGATGTTCAAGGAGAGTCGAATGGAATTTTTCAATATTTCCGTTGCCATTAGGAGAATGAGCTAAAGTTTTGTGGTGGTTAATTTTGTGAAGTCTAGTAAATTCGTTAAATAATTGGTTAGCAAATTCTGTTCCATTGTCAGTAATAATAGTCATAGGGACGCCATGGTGGGTACAATATTGTAAAAGGGCTTGTAACACGCTAACGGCTGTTCCATCACGTAAGTAATAAGCTTGTCCGTATTTGGTAAATACGTCTATGAAAGTCACGTATTTGATATTCTGTATTGTCAGTAAGTCTATGTGAATAATTTCAAATGGTTTTGTCGCTGGAGGTACAACGTTAAATTGAGGTCTGACCGGATTTCGATCGTACTTGGCTTGTCCGCATATAGTACATTCTGTGATAAATTTAGTTATTTGATCCTTCATTTTCGGCCAAAAGTAATTTCGTGATAATGATAAATAGGTTTCATTGATTCCTCGGTGATTCGTCTTACCCTCATGATAATGACGAATGATTTCCTGCTGTCTAGGGTATTCTTTAACGTTTTCTATTTCAGTTTTTACTAAGACTAAATTCATTGCAGATGATTTAAATTTACTTTGTAAAATTGGAATTATTGTATACATATCTAAAGTAGGATTAACTAAAATAGCTGTCTTAATTTTAGAACTAATGTATTCCTTTACGGCGTTAACTAAATCTTCCTCTAAATTAGATTTACTTAACTGGATGTTAATTCGAGTGTGTTTTTCGAAAGGTTTTGATACTGAAGCTTTTCTTTTTATACCGTCAACTATAGTAAAGATTACTTGTCTATGAAATTTATTAAGAGGTTCATCAGTAATCGGTATTTCTAAAATAGGGTTTTCGTGACTACTGTGTGCCGTTAATGTAGAAGAGTTAGATTGATGAGATGCGGAAATTGTTGAAGAGTTTGATTTTTCAGGAGCAGATATCGTAGAAGAATTTGATGCTCTGCGTAAGGTATACGATGGATTGCCTAATAGTGAATTTAATTCATCGATTTCTTCTATTAGTGAATTTGTTTCTCCCGCGTGTATTTCTATTCTAGAGAGAGCGTCCGCGTTAGTATTACTTTTACCTTTTTTGTATATTACTGTATAGTCATATTCGCTTAAACGTAAACGCCATCTTGTAAGTCGTGAATTCGGTTCCTTTAAATTCATCATCCATTGCAATGGCTTATGGTCAGTGACTATCTTAAACTTTCTACCAAATAAATAAGGTCTAAAGTATTTTGTAGCCCAAACTATGGCCAATAACTCTTTTTCTATGGTACTATAATTTTGTTCACTATCGTTAAGAGTCCTAGAAGCGTAACAAATTGGTCTATCGGATCCTATAGGGCCTTGTGATAAAATAGCCCCTATGGCCACGTTAGATGCATCGGTCGTCAGGTTAAATTCTTTATTAAAATCAGGGTATTGAAGTATTGGATCATTCGTTAAAACTGTTTTACATTTTTCAAAGCTTGATATATATTCATCATTTAAAATAATTTTCCTACCTTTTTTTAGACATTGTGTAAGCGGTTTTGTTAGTTTTGCAAAGTCCGGAATAAATTTACGATAGTATCCAACTAAGCCTAGGAATTGTTTTATTTCTTTTGGTGTTTTTGGTATGGGGTATTTCTCTATTGCAGCTATTTTTTCGGGGTTAGGTTTTACTCCGTCCGCGCTTATAATATGGCCTAGAAAAGCTGTTTCATGTTTTAAAAATTCCGATTTATCCATTTGGATTTTAAAGTTAGATTCGCGGAGTCTCTGAAAAACTTTTTGTAAATTTACTATATGCTCTTGTAGGGATGTACTAAAGACAATAATATCATCCATATAAACTAGACAAATAGAGTTTTGTAGACCTTTCAGCACATCATCCATTACTCGCTGAAAGGTCGCCGGAGAATTTTTTAATCCCATGGGCATACGAAGGAATTCATAATGTCCATGCTCGACATTAAATGCTGTTTTATGTATGTCTTGAGGATCTGTCTGTACCTGATAAAATCCGCTAGCTAAATCTAAAGTTGTAAAATACTGGCATTTTCCTAATTTATCTAATACGTCATTTATGTTAGGAATTGGATATTTGTCATCTATTGTTTTTTCGTTTAATTTACGAAAATCAACTACTATTCGCCATTTTCTTTTACCAGATGCGTCTACCTTTTTTGGCACAACCCAAATAGGTGAGCTCCAAGCCGAATTAGAGGGCCTTATTATTCCCTGATCG